TTCTTTTTTCAAAATAAATGTCATCAAAATATAAGAGGCCACATATTGTGAGGCAAACCACAAAAATCCAAAATATCCAAACCCTTTGCATCTAATATTATTGCACCATGGTCCCAACAATGCTTTACTTATGCCTTTTTTTGTCTGATTTTCACTACGGCACCCGGCCGATTGAGTATTGTGTTCAGAAATGCATTCAATTTTGAACAAAATACTCAATCGGCCAGGCGCCGGCCGATGAATCGCAGCAAATGTGACCAAGGCATTAGGTTTGATTTTTGACTGCCTCAGACTTAGGACATGAGATGAAGTGTAAACAAGCAGACAATCATTGAAATAAGAGGCAATTAAAAGATAATGATGTTCGTAAGTAGCAAAACAAACATCACTTCAAGTACCAAATGGCAAGCTAGAGATAAAAACACCTTTAAAATACAGTTTGAATGCCAATATGTATGTCTTATCTACTCGAAATAATTGATTATTTTCACAATAATAACATGTTACATATGGTCTTGATATGCTACTATACTTCACAATTCTGTGTTTTACTTCATATGATATCTATTGAAAAATAATGAAAAAAGTACATACCTGCCTATATCTGTCAGTAAGTCAATAACTTACAAGTATATGTATGTTTTCTTATCTAACTATAGGTTTCACTTCAGATAAGGCTTCTGAGTTAAGGTCTCTTTGCAAGTACATTTTGTTCTTGCATAAAGATTTTCAGTATTAGTAACATTGCGCTTAGTCCTGAATCAAGTCTCTGGACCCAGCCCCTTCCCTAACTACTCCCCTTACTGTTAAGCAGGTGAGGAAGATAGCTGACACCAGAGTAGTCTAGCTAAAAGCCTCTGTGACCCCCCCCCCTGTACTTGGCTTAACACCTTGTTGAAGTGGAGAGGGCGGGGGTCACACGGGCCTGTAGCTAGACTAACACAAGAGAAAATTACATTGTTGAGCACATAACAACTTCACACAACTGTCTTGCTAAAAGAGTTGAAGACTATAACAACATGTCACCACTTTTGGTGGTGACATAACAACAATATAACATTGTATTTAGAAAGCTATATTTCATACAAAAATTCAGAGACAATAATATATAACATTCACATGCACGCAACTGTATTCTATACAGACTCTCGCCAAGTACCCTTACATTCTCATAAGTAACAAATGCTGACTAAGCCAGGAGTTGAACCTCAAACCTCTTGAACAAGAGTAACAAACCTATCCTACTAAGCTATTCAGGTAGACAAGAAGTTAGTACTAACTACTCACAATAAATAATATGTATTCTCAAATAATACACATGAAATAAAAACAAATTAATTAGAATACAAACTTAGCATCATAACTACACAGAACAAATTTAAGCACGGTGAATTTTTCAACTAAAATGAGTAAATCATCTACATATACATGTAGTAATATTTCATAATGCAAAAGTGTATATTTATCGCTGCTTCACGTATGTCTGCTGTCACAATAAAATGGTGATCGATGCAATAAAAAATACTGAAAAAGTAAGATCCTGTCGAAATCATGATATTGAGGTGAACTTCAATCGGGGGTTGATTGATATTTGATAAGAACAATAGAACAAAGCTAAGAACATAAACCTATATAGTTTATTTCTAGAAAATTAATAAATGCATATGCATGTGAAACTATATCAATGTCAGAACCTATAAAATTGAATATCAATGTGAATGAATTCCATTCAACAGATGCTTGATAAGCTTACAGTTAAACATGTAATGTGTGAATAACAGTATACAAGCTAAATGTGTCTTCACATTTCAGTTTATCCAAATACTGGGGGTTTTTCTCTTAGGAGTCAATTAGATAATGAATCCCAGAATGCTGATCATAAAACAGGGGTGAACATAAATGGTGTTCACATACACAAGTTTCACTGTATTATATTTATGATACAACGATTATCAACAAAACAAATTAACCTTTCTGCCTTATAATACCATGAATATAACCACTATATGAATGTTTAACATGATGGAATATTATTGAAACCAATTTGCTCAACAAACTCTTTAACATTTTTATGTAAAATGTAAGTTATTCTATCATTATTTTTTCTGAGACCTCACAAAGTTATTCTCGTTTTTTCCGATCTGACTGAGATGAGACTGGATAAGCTTCAAACTTGACCATTCATTATATGAGTCTGGTATCATATTGCCACTCTGGGCAAATAGATCTCTGCTTTTTACTGATATAACATTTTCCCTGTTATATTCCCATGGCTACATTTATCAATTGCACCACAATATGTTTAGACATGACATGACATTTTCAGAATGCCAATCTGCATAATTTTAGTCATCTTGAGGCAAAAACAAAACTTATCTGTCAATACAAAGAGGTAATTAGCGGAACTATGATACACATGGATAGCATCTACACATCATGCATGCTGTGAGTTGCTCGTGGTCTCATGAATTCTTGGGTTTCTCTGTATGACACATCAATAAGTATTTCATAACAAGAGTTTAAAATCCATATGGCAAGCAGCCAATGGTACAATGGGGTTTAATAATTTATTGTACTTTTCAAAAAGGTGTACAAACAGCAAAACAAATGAAGTCATCAATTGAATCATAAGCATACCATATATGAAATCAGTGATCTCCCATCATTGATGCAATTGGGCATAGCTCCCACCTGAGATTTTGATAATAGGCTTGTACCCACTTGAGAATCCATTTGCACCCACTTGAAAATGAGAAAAATCATGAAAAATTGGCATATTTTATCCAATTTTGGTGTGAATTGTGAAAATGAGAATGTTGATTTGTTGCAGGTTCCCAATCTCTCCAACCACCATCCAATCCTTCAACAATATTCTGATCAATATTTTTTTAACGAGGTTAGCTTATTACATATTGGCTCAAATACGCTATTAATCGTCTGTATATGAATTTATGAAGCAGAAATACAACTTGGAAGTAATATACTGCAATGCCGCAACAATATACTACTCAATATCAATACATTTGTGGCAAATCATTCAGTTTTGAAACTGCCCTAAAAGGCAAATGAGTTATATTTTTAACAGATAAATATGAGGTTCCTTATAAGTCATTCATATCCTACATGTTCCTCTATTTAAGCATTAGTGGTCAACTATGTATAAGAGAACATTTCAAATATAAATTTATGTACATTTAAAATAGTTTTTGTATAATTATTCATTGACGTAGAAAAATATATTATAAAGTGAAATGAGGACAAACCATACCTCTTTGTAGGTATATATACCACATATAATCATACCAGTTTAGACTCTAACTTTAACAACTTGGTAAGCTTATATGTTAATTTGAACCCCTGGAAAGAAGACAACAGTGTATAGATCATGGATGTACCTATTTACAGCCAACAATTTGAAGTTTACAGTCTATATTTAACAAGAGCGACCGATGATTGAAAATAATTTTCATGTTGAAAATAATTTTCATGTTCAAAACCCAGACATTAATACATATGGCATGACGTTTGTGGCCTAATTGAAAAATAGTTCATGTACATGTAATTGTATGCCTATTAAAACCGGAATTTGCAGAAGTGAGCCATATATTGACTTAGCAGATCAAACAAATATAATAATAGTAAATCAAATAAACCTCCTTGCACTGCAATGGTAAATATGCAATGACAATATAAAACTTGATACGTAAAACAACTATTGTAAATTCTCATGGTTTTTAACTTTAAGTTAAATCTTTTCAAGCTTATTACTTGTAAAAATCTCACACTTATCACTGAGAGGTGAGATTATCCTAAGAAAATATAAAAAGAACATGGAGTTGGACAATAGTTCAGCTGATGGAAAGGGTAGATGTGACAACAGGCTAGCACAATAACAGCAGCAGTTACAAATAATGATAATGATGGTATCAAAACACAGATGATAAGTGAAGATGAAGATACCAAAGTACATGTAAGATGTATCAAACAATGTCAGTTGTGAAAAAGATGTACAATTAATATGTTAATTCACGTTCCACTTTATACACTAAAATTCAATTTCAAGTGTTGAACTGTTAAATTATAATTTGAAAACAAACCTTAACGTAGGCTCTATTCCCGATACCTGATTCCCACTTATCATATGACTTATGTTTGAGTTGATTTGTATGGTCAGTTGATTGTGATAGTTTGCATCGGTAGTTCATGGTTACAAATGAACTCCAAATTTCAAAATTTTCTGAATGTTTGTTTTTCACTTCATTAAACTTGTGTTCCCTTGGTGGCGTACTACTCATAAAAATAGCGCCAAGCCCATGATGTTACTCTTTGCATATTTTTCCGTATTATGGACCTGAAGCAAAGTCCATGGCTGTATGATGCTGATAAGACTGTTTTGAAAATAGATGCGTTGCAGACCAACGAATGAAGTAAGTATCCCATGTTCTAGGGCAAAGGGGTGTAACGTCGCCGTGTGGGGTAAAGTCGACATAAATGACAAGGTAACTTCGACGCTTACTTATTAGAAGTAGAATTTCCGATTTCCGCCATGTTTGATTTCTGGAAAAATTAAAATCTTGCGAGATCTCGATCCATGCGAGAAAAAAAATGCTTCCCCCTAGATCGGAAATTAGAGCAAATAAACAACAAGTGTCGAAGTTACCCCACACCAAATGCCGAAAAGGTTGACAGAAAATAGCAAGGTTCTAAAGCCTATCAAAAAACTATAGTTATCAAATCTCAATAGCTCCCTTTGACCGGAATGTAAAATTGCAGCAATGTGAAGCGTCTTTTCAGTAAACCATAATACAACCAACATACCTGGTGTGCAGTCAGGTATGAAATGAAACAAAGTCAGACAGAAAATATTCAACTTTTCAAACGATGATTTCCAGTGAAAAACACGAAGAATCTTTTCCAGACTAACACATATGCAGAAAATACAATAACTCTATTTGAATAATGTTATTTGAAAAGCATCACATATATATAAAGTACTTTACCTGCTAAAAATGTGGAAGACACTTCGAAAACACTTGTTGATCGCAAACTTTTCTCCCGTCCCAGGTAGATTGGCCAATCAGAGAGAACGATCTATCAAAGTTTGACGTGTTGTACTGAGGAATTCGATTGGTCGAATCTTGAGACACTATACGAAGCGTCATGGAAATTATTAACCCCGGGAAATTTAAATAAAGTGTTGTTGACCCCGGGATTATGATTGTTTGGCATTGACTATTTCTTTTGAAAAATCTTTCACATCATAACATTGTGACGACGGCTTAATATTGGATATTTTCAGAGTTCATAGGTAGATTGTCCTGGTTTATATAAAATGTTGATTTCTTGGGTGGGTAACATCCACTCATCTCCCCCGTCATCGATCACTCCCTTTCGTGTTTGGTTGTGGCATGGAGGTATAATACATCTATGGTTGCAGTGAAGCATGGGCAGGTCCATGAGTGACAAAATGTAGTGGAGACTTAGTTTAGAAGATCAAGAAGATGTGGGGTAGTTTACGAGGTTTACCTGACACGTTGTACTGTATGCTCATCTTCTTTTTGCTGTACATGGTCTTTTCATAAAGGTTGATGTTTTACAGAGCTGAGACCTTAACATTTGATTGTTGGTTTACATGGCCAGTTGATTGTGTTTGTTTACATGCCCAGTATAAGCAGTAAGCATTTGATTGTATCGGTTTTACTTTGAAAAGTTTCACTCATCATATTTTGGTAACATTGGTTAAGACTACAAAATAAGCTAAAGTGGTTCAAATTAACCCCTTAATGTTGTGACATGATACGTGATCTTTAAGCATTTTATTGTGTTTGTTCCCCTGCCCAGTCAGCATTGTGTTGGCTTTTTACATGGGAAGTTCAACATTTGATTGTGTTGGTTCACATAGACAGTTCAGCATTTGGTCGTGTTTGTTTACAAAGACAGTTCAGCATTTGATTATGGCTTTTTACATGGCAAGTTCAACATTTAATGGTGGTTTACATAGGCAGTTCAGCATTTGACTGTGTTGGCTTTTTACACGGCAAGCATTTGATTGTGTTCATATACATGATAAGTTCAACATTTGATTGTGCTGTTTTACATAGGCAGTTCAACATGTGATTGTGTTGGTTTACATAGACAGTTCAGCAAACATTTGATTGTGTTGGTTTACATGACAAGTTCAGCATTTGATTGTGTTGGCTCTTTACATGGCAAGCATTCGACTGTGCTGATTTACATGGCAAGTTCAACATTTGATTGTGTTGTTTTACATAGGCAGTTCAGCATTTGATTGTGTTGATTTACATAGACAGTTCAGCAAACATTTGATTGTGTTGTTTTACATAGACAGATCAGCATTTGATTGTGTTGGCTTTAACACAGCAAGCATTTGATTGTGTTCATTTACATGGCAAGTTCAACATTTGATTGTGTTGATTTACATGGCAAGTTCAACATTTGATTGTGTTGGTTTACATGGCCAGGTTGATTGAGTTTGCTTAAATACCCAGCCAGCATTTGATTGTGTCAATTTACATGGCTAGTTAAGCATTTGGTTGAGTTGGTTTATGTGGTCAGTTGATTGTGATAGTTAACACGGCTAGTTCACCCATACATTTGTGTTGATTTACATTATCAGTTCCACATTCAAGTGTTGTCAGTTGTCTGTTTACACAGTCAGTTGGTTGTGTTTGTTTACATGCCCAAGAAGCATATGATTGTATTGGTTTACATCCATGGTTAGGTGATTATGACAATTTACATATCTAGTAGAGCAATTTATTGTGAAGGTTTACGTGATGCATGGTGTTTACAAGGCCAGTTCAACAATATACGGGGTGAGCCAAAAAGGTAACCAAACAAATGTGTGTTATTAACTCAGTCATTGAACATTTAAGATCATATTTGGCACAATTAAACCTTGGTCAATGTTCTTTCCTTCTTCGAAGTTTCATTGGTCTTTCATTTACAAAACATGCTGCAAATCTAGAAACCTGCATCATCCACGAGACATAAATCCCACCAGATTTGTATCTGTGGGGCTAATGTCTACATTGACAACTTTTGAAACGCAGAAACAAGAGATAAGAAGGGGGTTGAGAGCTATAACACATCTCTGTGCTCATGTAGTGCACAACTACGCCCGATCCTTCAAGTTAGCCTACAAACACCGCGCCGGTATTTTATATGATGTTTTGTAAATGGCTTACCCTTGCATTCGTTCGACTTCACTTCTCAAATCAACGTTTAATTGTTGCTAATATGACTCCAACCAACGGGTCCAAACCCATCGATGCTGAATTACTGAGTTTGTTTGGGTTACCTTTTTGGCTCACCCTGTATTTTAGCTTACTGGTTGATTGTGATCACCCTGATTGTGATTGTATGATCTGATCGAGTTCGGGCTGAACATGAATACATCTATTTATTTGGATTAATGGAAATTAAACCACGAAATTAATCGATACAATTTTTAAAAGTGAGTCAATGCATTTGAAACGGATTTGAATTCTCGGGAACTTACGTGGGCGAAAGGTAGTTTAGCACACCTGTAATACGAAACTAGGTCAATGCGGAAGTGATCAACGGCTAGCTCTGTATAGTTCAAAGTTCAGGATACGATTTTCAAACAGTAGTTGAACAGAAAATGACTTCAAAATGACGTTTACGATTGTCTTAGGATTGTATTTCTTGGGTGCTGCATCATGTAAGTATAATAGTTGACAAATAAAGTTCCAAATATACTTTTAATGTGTTGATCATCGCAGACTTTCAATTCAAAGTTGAGAATGTTTTTATAATTAAAAAGTAGGTCAAACTCAAAAAGTCTGATTGCATTTTTGGTAAATTAAACAGGTAATCAAGTATATAAATGTAACCAAATACTCATGTTGTGTTAGATTGACTTTGAAAGATAGTTGAATATAATATATAATATATATTTTTTCTACCATAAGGATCGTTGTTATTGATATTTCATTTCTATGACTCACCTGGAATTCTCCAGTAATGGATCATTGATTGGATAATGGAGGCTGGTTATCAAGTGCACATGATATTAACATTTGGCCTTGATAATGAGCTATAAATATAATTAAAAAGACGGCCCAAAATGTTTTCAATGTAAACCATCAGAAAGGATTTTCATTTACTGTATTTGCACATAGCCATCTTTAGATTGATGGCTATGGAAATCTTGATATTCCCAGTCCTTTTTGGCTCACACAGTGAGCCTATGGGATCAACCAGGCGTCCATCCGTTGGTCCGTCCATCCATCAGTTGCTCGGTATGTCCGTCCGTCAACATTGGCCGCACAAATTAAAACTGCTATTCGGATGAGTCATATCATGGGCTTTCCTTCTAGTTGAAAGCCCATGATCATATCCACATTCATTTTATGCATATCCATAATGCTTATTTGACCTATCATCGCCATTTCCCAAGTTCGCCCGGTTTCTGAGAAATTGCTGAGTTTGACGTCAAAAAGTCAAATTTTCTGTAAATACTAGACACTTTGTTGAAGTAGAACTTTCAAATAACTTGTAGTAATTGCTGTATATGCAACTTATGTTCTCTGAAGATTTAAAAGCTCTTGAAGTTACAGTTTTTGGTGTTTACTCTATAAAATTTGACAAAAAGTAGGACTCATTTTCAGGGAACTTTCTCATGTATATGTATATCGTCAATAGCAGGTTTTGTGATTGACAAGTTTCTCAAAGTTTGTCCATATACTTGTTCATTACATGCAATGAATTACATCATTACTAGATTTAAGCATTCCCTACATATTGCTCAATATATGTCAGCATCAAATTTTTACTGTTTTTGAGATATTTGACGTCAAAAAACCAGTAAAAATAAATTATTTTTCAACTTACTTCAATTTCACCAAATTCTTTTGGGAAAATCCTCTACAAGTTGCCAGGAGTTCAAATCTGACCTTAGTTTTAAGATTTGGCCTTCAGTCACCTTCGAAAGGTCAAAAAAAGTTGATTTTTCAAATTGATTATTTGGATGTAAATTTTGGTCACCTTAATCACAAAAGACCTACTGAGCTCAGAATAAGTAAAATGTTCAAGGTCAAAGGTCCTCAAACTAGGTCACAAACTGTGCTATCTAAGTTTCTCGAAGTTCGAGACTACAAATCAAAATCAATAATTTTGTTAGAAAATCAGGATATACATTCCTCTGAAGGTTCTATACTGTGTGAGCACAGGACCGTGGGTCCTTTATTTATCAGAAAAGATAGTCCTTAAAATGCTCAGATTGCATCAAAAAATGGCTTCAATGACAAAAAATTTCCCGGGGGATCATGCCTCTGGAACTCCCCAAATGCGCGGCCTTCTGCACCAACTATACTTCTAGAATGATCATTTTATTGCATCTCCTCAGGTCATACCAATTTTTGCAAATCTCAAATTGTAAAGGTTCACTTAATACAGTATACTTTCTGACTGTTAATTCAGGCAGTCTTTCATCTTTCAAAATGTCCAATACAGCTCTCTAATTCAGATGAAATTTGTATTGAAGTTCATGCATTTCCATATGCTTGACTTAGCAAACTAGAAAATATGAACCTAGCACAGTTTACCCCAACTCCCTTGTAAGGAAACACAAATTCTATCCTCATGATGGGTATCACCTTATTTGTTATTTCATTTATTGTACAATATGAATCACATTGACCTAATTTGACAATTTAGATAAATTGATTATATAATATGAGTATGACTTGACTTAGAGCCTGATACACTTAAATGTAAACAATACTTGTGATAATTAGTTGAAATTATTTACAGTGTGCCTTTGTTTATAGGTGTTGTTTACATTAAAATGACACCTGGTTTGGCCCAGTCAGTGTGCATATATGAGTATGAATCTGGCAAAATGTCACCGAAATAGATATATTTTTAATTTCTACTTTAGATACATAGCCTGGAGTGTGAGGGTGCTGAAAATAAAAGTGCTCAAAATAAAATTGTAAAAGTATTATTTTTGGGTCAAAAATTTATGAAATCCCAACTTTTGACTCTATCTTAAAGACTCAATTATTAATCTGGGCACACTAAAGCACCTTTTGTGCACAAATTAAAGATTTAGACTGTGTTTGGAATGGGTTATGTTCATCTGAAAAATGCACATGTTCATCAAAATGGTAGAAAGTGTAGTCTGACCTTAAAGAATGGTCGCAAAATGTTAATATTACTTCACTTCAAAATTTAATTTCTTGTTTTTGTTATAATTACAGGTCAGTTCCTAAATGATGTCCCATTGGAAATTGAAGTAAAACCTTCAAAACTCACAATAAAAGATGGTGGCTCATCCGAACTCCATTGTGATGTATTTGATAGATCAAACCGACCTCTTTCTGAATCAAACATAAAATGTAAAGTGTGGTGGGCATATTGGTCTGAACGTGTTCAGAACAACGCACATTATACCCAAATTAATAATCAACATCAGGATGGAGCACAGTTTGAGGCCTTGCTGCGTATCAGCAACATGCGTCCTAATCTTGAGGGCCGATACACATGTTGGGCAGAATGCACTGATCTACCTGGCAGAAAGTTCACAGGAGATGTATATGTGACTTACAGTAGTGGTAAGTATGCTCCCTTTTGGCTAACAACACTTCGCTCTGATTATTTTTTTAAAAAATTTAACAGTTTTTTATGAGATAACGAATTTTAATGTTTGCTAGTTACTTAGGGTCAGAAATTAATTTCTGTAGTGTCAATACTTGATTTGGCGACTTTGACACTTTCTGCATATTGGTGGCTATTTAATTTGGCAGACACCAAAATAAAGGGATCGTCAGCTTAACCCAATCTACTTTATTATGATTGAATATTGATTTATCTTATCGAACCATTGTTGACATTTATGTTACAGAAAAATATGTAGAGAATCCCGCAGGCCCAGGCCAGGGAGGGTATAACCCACAGACACCTAACGACAGCAACAATGGAGCTCTTGTGGGTATTATAATAGGATCAGTGTCAGGAGTCATTCTTATAGCTATTATCATTGGCCTTGTTGTTTTCTGCAAAAGAAAGAGACGAATTGATGAGAATATTGAGGAGCAACAGGGTAAGATGTACCAGGAAATTATGGATCAATCCAATGAAAGGACTAATAATTGGGTATCACAAGCAGCTAGTGTGCCACGTAATCGAGCTTTCAGCGAAGATGAACTGAGCCGAATGAGTCTCAGTTCAAGATTCTCAGAATCCTCGAATAAATATGGGAAGAAGAAACGACGTAGGAGACGCAATCGAGAAACAGAAAATGGGGAGAGTGATAGTTTGGCATCGGATAATCTTCCGCCAAATACTCCGAATGGCGGAGACACTAGTTCTTTTGATATGCCATCTGTAAGTGCCCAAACATCTCCCGTAAATGCGACTCCAGCCCAGCCATTCAGTTTCCCAAAACCTCAAAAGGATAATGAACCAGATGAGCCCAAGGGAGATGCTACTGAGGACAAACCTCCTGTGGAGGGTGCAGTTGCTGTTGCAGCTGCTAATCTTACTGATGAAATACTGAAACTATATAATGCAAACATTGAGGAAGTAGATGAAGAAGATGAAGAGGATGATGATGATGTTGATGATGATGATGAATCAGATATTAATGATCCAAGTGCTCCACTCAATCCTAAATCCACCAGCCATGATGCAGCTGATGAGGAAATTCCTCCACCTTACACTGACCCTATACCCCCGGGCAGTGGTGCCAGACCTAGGGAACCTAGTAGGCACACTAAACCAAACAAACATTCTACCAAGGTCCCTGATAGACCATCAAGACGGACACCAGTTCCTATTGAATCTGATCCAGAGCCAGCCAGACCTTGCCCTACACCTCCTGTTGGTCAGGGTCCTCCTCCATATGTATCCTCTAAGGATGACATTCCCTTAGTTGATGAAGACCCGGACACAACTCTTGATGAGCCTGTTGATGAAGGCCCACCACCATACTCATCCCCAGGGAAAGCCGCAAAGAATGAGCAACAAGCAGCTAATAATAACTCTAGTACCCCTCCTAGACCTCCACGTAATGCACCACCCAGGCCTGATGCAACCTCTAAACCGACACTCATGACTACAGTTGTGTAATTGCTTTACAAAAGTGTGGTCATGTGGTTGCATTCCTTTTGATCATATGTGTGATTGTATTATGCGAGTGCATATAACATGAATGCATTTACGTGAATAGATCACATGAGTGTATCTTTTTAAATGTAGCATACAGCATTCTAATCACTCAGGCAATCTTATGTTGGAAAAGAATCTGAGAAACAGTTCACAATCTGTATTGCCAGTTATTTTAATATGAAAATAAGTATTATATTGAAATTTTAAAATGCAATTTAAACCTAAAGGTATAAAATATTGATATGTTATGTGTGATGTTACTTGTATATTTTAGACAGTAGAATTTTTAGTGCAAGTGTGTAATGTTTAAAACATGAGTGAAAGTAGGTAGTGTTCATGTATATTTTGTAGATAAAACATTTTTTGTAAGATTTGGTCCATTCCTCAAAGTACAGTCGTTATTTAAGTATTTAATGTTTTTCCGACAGCAAAATGCATATGCATCTAGCTTTTGCTATGTACATAATAATGTCTATATTATATTTTCTATTTTGATATTTGGTAATTAAATTAAAGGGACATTGTCTTTACTATTTGATATTATTTGACCAAACGTCCTAAAAAGGAGAAAAATCCCCTATAACTTTCCAATTTAAATTACCCATTGGTCAGTTGACAAGGTAATTTGTCCAAAATACATGTGAAATGTTCCAGACTACTGACAGTAATTTTAACCTTGACATGTTCCTTTAAACTTGTTATATAATTTTTATTATAATGTAATATGATGTTTTCACTAATGACAATGCTCATTTCTACATGTACTCACATTCTCAAAACCAACATTTTGCATATGAAGGAAAATGGAAACAGTGAAACATGTAATGTGGAACACCTCTAGAAGTGGAACACCTCTGTAAGTGGAACATTTTTCAGAGTCCCAAGACCAACTGACTTAATGATAAATGAACCACTATAAATGAAACCCATCCCAAGTGGAATACTTTTTAGTAGTGTTGTCGCAATAAGTCAATACATCGCGATATACATATTTTGTATATCTTTTAGAGGTCCCAAAGGGGTGTCCCACTTGGACAGGTTCTACTGTACTATGTATTGCATTGTTTTTAGATATCTGATTTCTGAATGTATGGTCAAATTAACTTTTTTAATCAATATCAGCAAAATGCAATATCAGTTTGAATGTATACAGCTGTGTTCCATTATATATAATATGTAAATAGTGTCCAGGTTTATGTGCCCAACAGCAATATTTTGTAAGTGTATCATACTTAATAGTCGTGCAACAAGTCTCTTTACCCAGGCCGTAGCCAGAAAGGCGGGGGGCCAAGAATTTTTTCAAAATCTTGCAGTTTTTATTCACCATTCTTAGCACTTTTCAAGTGATTTTGGGCCAAAGTTGACAAATCTAAACCCACTGGAATTTGTGGAAAAGTGAACCCCCTTGGCAAAAGCTGGCTACGGGCCTGTTACTATTATCTGGGGTGAAAGGGTTACCTTAGAGCTTGAAGCAAGACTATATGCTTATAATATAGCATATACCCATTTTCTTCATATGACATAAAATCAACAAAAAAAGAATAGTAGAAATGGTGTAACCTCTGTTATTAACAATATGTATCCATTCAATATGTTAGTCCCAGGTATTCAAGTAAATTGTATGATTTCTTATGATGTAAAGTTATACCATTGTTGGTTCTCACACTCAATAGATACGTTCTAGGACAGGTTCAAAGCTTGCTGTAGCACGATGAAAAAGAGAAACCATTGTATATTTGATAACCTGACCAGGATGCCATTCCAAATGTTATCATTCCCATTTAAGTAAATGGCAGCATTTCAGAAATATTTTACATTGTAATTTTGCGCATATTTTTGTAAGTTCCGTAAGTTGTTACACCATCTATACCAGCAAACTCATATGACCAGACTTACCCAATCATGTCGTCTATATATGGTCACATGATCATTTTTTGCTGTCAAGGTAGTGTAAAACCTTCAATATTTGCAAATGGCTATATTGCTTGTATAACTGCTGCTTGTCTGTTATTTGCCATAGAATGTAAGATACACATTCCCCTTGTAAAACGGAAGGTATTCATTCCCTGTATTATTTCCAAGTTTAAAGGGATATTGATACACATGGATATTTAAAAAATGAGAAACATTCCATAGTTAGAACTGGGCCAAAAGCATAATTTTCTACTTTGCCTGTATATGCTTTCAATGACTATTAGACTATTCTTGTGGGTGGGGAGGGGTGTAGCGAAACTCTTTCATACTCCTTAATTTCCCTTTTTTAACTTTGAAGTCCTTCCACACAGGGTGTATTTGTGCTTACCTAAGTTTAGCTCACTTCTATCAAGAAGAACAACCAGAATTATGATCTGATTTATTCATTGAATCTACAGGGTGGTGCTTAAATAGTTGTAACTGAAATGTCTAACCTGTTAATCACAGAGAAAAACCTGAGACCAATGTCTTAGATGACATTTTGAGAGACCCATTGAAGAAACCAATGTGACCATTAGAGACTAATGTGAATTTAGAAACCAATGTGACATTTTAAGAAACCAACGTGCCCTTTTTCTAAGACTAATGTGGCATTTTAAGAAACAATTGTGATCTTTAAGTGACCTCTAAAAAGTTTGAAAATCTAGAGACTGCTCTCGCCTTTAACAAAGACATTTTGCATTGTCATGGTATTTTATGTCCAATAGCACATGAAAAAATATTTGTAATAGTTTTTTAGAACTTTTAGATAGTTAAATTAGTACTGAATGATTGAAGTATAAGAACAAAACTAGAACAGAGTGTCTAGAATTGAAGAAAGGTTCAAAGTATTTATTTTCTGTATGAATAAAATCCAGTCTAACCTTATTTAATGACTTATGTTTATTTTTAATCTAAAATTGATGCACGGTCTTTGAAGCTATGAAAATGCAAATAGCTCCAAAACATTTTTTATTGACTACCATTCGATTTAAGCAATGGCGAAAATTGGCTCTATTATACAATAGACTAGATGCAAATAGAAGCAATCTTGATTTATATAAGTAAATGTTCAGATAGGCAAAGTGATGTCATATTTGAAATCTACACAAAGGATAACATCTAAATAGCATTTTCAAAATTGTTACTCAACTTTGAATTTAACTTTCTTTGAAAATGTGACTTCTTGGTCATCGAACCGATAGAATTCAGACCAATGGGTTGTCCTCAATTCGAACAGGCTCGAACTTCAGAAGCACCTTTCCATCCGAGGTCTCAGGACGTCGATGAAGTGAGAAGGTAGGTTTTTGCGTGTTGTCACATTTCTTGGGTTGTCTATATGTTGTTACAATTCTGGGTGTTTGTGTACTGTCACACTTTTAGGTTGCTCTCACATTCCTAGGTTACATGTGAATTGTCACATTCCAAGTCGTTTGAATGGTGTCGCATTTCTAGGAGGTTTGTATTTTGTCTCATCTTTTTTTGATACTTTGCTCGAAATGTGAGAAAAATTACTGTTATGATGTCACAAAGGATATGTAAATGAGCTAATTTGCATAGATTGCACTGTAACTGAAATAACGAGCTTTCATTTGATTCCAATATTACTCAAAATGGATAATAAATAGGAAAGTTATGAGACAAACATTTTCGTTCATGATCACGATATTGCCAATACCTAGTGTATTATTTTTATTTGTTTTTATTAGTCCGTTTTCATAGCAACGGGGCCAATTACAGAATGTCTCATTATGCGGAAGATTGAGCAAAGATGCTTAGCTTTCTAAAGATACCAAGAGACTCAGTTAGTGGAATTACACCTATTTCATGGCTAAAGGCGTTTTCAAGGCGTTTTTGGTAACGTAGGCTAGAAAACCGCAATCCTGATTACACCAGAATTTTAAAAGCGCCTTGAAGACAACTTTTCGTGATTACACTTGATTTTTCTAAAGCGCTTTTAGACTGATTTAAGACAAAAATTTGCCATCAACCATCGCATTTGCATCAAAATCTGCTATTTAGATATACACTTTCAACCGTAGCGCCATCTCTGGAGATTCAAAATGATCCGATACTGTATGTTCCTTTTTTTCTTAAATCGTATTCAATCTACCTCCTGCGTTAACAAATATGTGCTAAAGAAAGCATGGAAAACAATGCACAAGCGCGCAAAGAGAGAAGCTCGGTCGTTAGGAGAGATCCAAGAGAGATCCAGTAAAATGAAGATGGTACTTTTGTTGGGGCTGTTTGGCATCCTTGGTAATATGGGACAGGAACGAACGATGTGGACAAGACAAAGATCTCGTCATTTTTCTGACTTCATTGTAGAGAGGTAATTTCAACTATTCAATCATCCCCTCCCCTCGCCTTCCCCAATCTACAATAGTACCGGAATTTCTCGTATATAAGCCCTGGGCGTATAACTGAAAGAAGGGGTAATTTCGTCCGTTATTTTATCATTTTTTATACGCCCATGGGCGTATAAATATAAGACTTTAGATTTTTGGCCCAGTGAGCGTCAAAGTGATCGAGAAGAGCTATTATCATAATACTATGGTGCTCAAAATATTAGCTACTTTCTTCGTTCGGGATGCTGAATCATCAATATCCGTCGTCAATAGTATTATATTATTTATTTAATTTACGGTTATTCTATTTACAAATTGCGTTGTTCTTTGTAGAACGTGGAATAATGATGATTTTCGACATTTTGGTGATTTGATTGAGTTTTGCACAATATTTGAATTTTGTTTTTTGAAGTTTCCTCCACACCGGAAATCAATAACATGCTTGATGCTCATGCGCAAATATAGTTTTCGTTCAGTGTAAAATCGAGTTAAAGCGCCTTGAAAACCAATCGGTATTACACCTACACGTTAAACCGCCTTTGGGTGTGAAAGCGGTTTTTAATGACTAGGGGTCTGGGAGGATTACAAAAGCGCTTTTCTAAATCCGCGATCGTGATTACACCTGACTCTAAAGGCGGGTCGAAACCCGATAGGATTTTAAAAAGCGCTTTTACATCGTAGGTGTAATTCCACCTACTAGGTCTGGGGTTTACCTGTTCATATCAGCGTTTTCCATCTCAGCACCCATAATTTATATGAGACTGGTTTATATTTTGTAAAATACCATAAGTAGGTATATTTTGTTGTATTTTTTCCAGTTATGTACTTATTATTAAAAAGATGTAGGCTATATCTCCCAGACCGATTGAAATATGATCTATATATCTCAATAAAGCCTGCCTAGGCTACATTTGTGTTCAATGAAGATATTCAATTTTACTACAATTATATAATTTAAAGGGGTTATTTATCCCATGTATTTTAATAACTTGCTAAAAAATATTAGAAAAAATTGCAATTATGACATCAAAAAATATATGCAAATGAGCTAATTTGCATAATTTATAATTTTTCTGAAAGGGCATTTGACATGGTTTCATTTGGTACCAAGATTATTTAAAATGGATAAGAAATGGAGAAGTTATAAAATAAAACATGATATTTATACTATTAATTGCAGGTATTTTAATCGGCGTCCGTTTCCATGGCAACGGCGCCATTTTCAGAACTTCTCATTATGTGGAAGATATAGTAGAGGTTTAGCTTTCTAAAGATACCCAGTAGGGTCTGAGGTTTACCTGCTAATATCAGTGTTTACCGTCTCAACCCCCCATGATTTACGTAAGGCTAGTTCATATTTTGTAAAATACAAGTTGTACCATAAAATAGGTCTACTTTTGCTGTTATTTTTCCAGTTATGTACTAATTAAAAGGACGTAGGCTATATCGCTTAAACTGATTGAGATATGTTATATATATATCAAAATAAAGCCTGTTTCTCCTATATTTGTATTTTATGAATATATACAACTTTACTACACTTATTTAATTCAAAGGGGTATCTATAACATGTATTTTAATAACTTGCTCAAAATATGAGGAAAATCACAATTATGACGTCACAGAAGATATGCAAATGAGCTGATTTGCATAAATTATACTTTATCTGAAAGAGCACTCAACATGCTTTCATTTGGTACCAAGATTATTTAAAACGGATAAGAACTGGAACAGTTATATAACAAAACATGTTATTGGTTATTCGAATACTGTTAATAGCAGGTATTTTATTCAGCGTCCGTTTCCATGACGACGGGACCATTTTCAGAACTTCTTATTAAGTAGAAGATGTTGTGGTGATGCACAGCTTTACAAAAATACCAAGAAACCCAACAGGGTCAGTCAATCCTTTTTTATTTTATCCCTACTCGTCTATTAGTTAGTGATTTAGGTTGGTAACGACATGTTTTATTTGTTAAAATTTTGGTTCAAAAATCTCAGACGGAAAACATTGGTCAACATTATTTCACTCCAAAAAATCCAAATATTGGGTACTCTTAAATCGTGACTCGACACTGTTGGGGAAAATATACTTGTATATAGTAAATCTGACATGTAGTGTATTAATTTATTTTATTTCTTATGTAACGCAAAAATACCACCCACTAATTTTGGAATAACTTTCTCACGGTGCCCATGTCAAGCTGCGCGCCTACTTAGGCGCGCAGTTTGTTTCGATCACAAACTGCGTGCCTAAGAACATTTGATCATTTAAGTTGGAGTCTGTATTTTGAAACGTTATTTAAAGACATTTATCCTGCATTGTTTTCTTGTTCAATGCGTTCATTCTGTGGCGAATATACGAATCTTGCAAATACTAGCAAAAACTGTGTGCAAATGAATCTTAGTTTTAAAACATAAGCAGATTAATGGCATTTTCGTCACTGATTTAATGGGAATTTATACGTAAATCGATCTAGCACTTTAAACATAAATGACAAATACTTTAGACTCGTTTTATATTTAATTCCTTACACATTTATCATGTTTAGTTCAAAATATTTCGAAATAAAACAGATAATCAGGAGATTAAAAAGAAATAAACCACAAACTGCGCGCCTATTTTAGCCAGAAATTACAATCTGTGCGCATACACTATTAAAACTACATATTATCATTGGAATTTCTACAGAGGTACGTGTAGGTGTTTTCGATGTAGCTTTGGAAATTTTGCTTTATCGTCAGATTTTATGAGCTTTTCATATTGAAAGTCAAAATGTATAATAGAAGTGACAATTAAGTTGGGAACGAAAAAAACATTTATTTTCAGATCACCATCTTGGTGGATGGACTCTCATAGTGTTTCAATTTTGGGGTTCTACTATTAGACACATATGTGCCTTGTATGGCGCTTATGTTTTCTAATAATACAAAACAAGCTTGGATAGGCAAGCAGTTTTGAAATATTAGGCACGCAGTTTGGGAAATACATGTGAATATAGGCGCGCAGTTTGACAAGAAAAATGTTTAAATCACGTTTATGGCGTATTATCGTTTTGAACACAAACTTTGCTGTTTTAATCAGATGGAGTGATCCTATATATTCTAGCATACACAGACACAATGGCTGAATAAACGGCAAATGACGATAAAAAGACATACATATAACTTTACACTGTAAATTTTGAACACAGAAGTTACTTAAGACCCTTATATTGAGATAACTAGGTTTACATCGGGAAAAACATTGAGTACTATGAGTAAATTAAGTTCATCTTCACAGAATGGTATACTATCTTTAGAACGAGACTAACCTTGTATTTTTCGTATTTTGGCTCTTTTTGGGAGTCGTGTCCTCCCCGTCTCACATTTTGAAATATGCGCGCAGTTTGTCAGAGTTTCAAACTGCGTGCCTAGTAGGCACGCTGCTTGACATGGGCATCGTGTTTCATAATAATAAATGAATGTATGCGATTCTTTTTATGTAGATAGAGTGTTCAATGGAAAAGGGATTGTTGTACTTGGATAGCATTAACAACTTTCAGATTTAGAGATATCACGTTTCCGTCCAGGTATCTTTTTTTCATTGAACACTAAACTGCTTAACACACATAAAAAAATCATGAATATTTCTTGGTTATTGAGTTATTCCGAAATTAGTGGGTGCTATTTTTGTGTCACTCTGTATACGGCTTACCCTTTGCATTCGTTCGACTTCACTTCTCAAAAGAGAGCTTCATCTTCGGGTAGTTCATAACTAGACTCTTCGCGCAGGGTATATATGGCCCAATCTTGCATTATGAAATATGACATTGAAAATGTGGTCGTCTAATGTTGATAATCAGCACACACGTAGATTCGACTGTGTTCTCATCGCTGGCAGAATTACAAACAGACTCAACATCGGAAAACTACTGCATGTATGTATTATTTATTTGCGTCTATAATTAGACAAAAACAAAAAGCAACTGGGATAGCCATACAGAAACGTATTCAGGGGCGGAAACGCGGAGTTTTTCGTTCCAAAAACAGGCAAGTGACATTTTATTTGGTTGTCGGTGAACGTTTTGATGCGTTTCCTAATCCTACTATCACACCAAACTAGTTCTCGCTACGTTATTTCTCGTTCTTTTTTGTCAGTTCAAGGTTTTCTAATAACGGTTAGACGGGTGTCTTATTTTTACAGGTATATTGAAACGTAATCTTCGAAGGTAAGGGATGAAATGCATCATAACAAACCAGCAGACGGTTTCAGATGTTGGAGAAACGGGTCTCAAGGGCAAAGTTCTCGTCTCGGAACAAGACGATGTCGGTTTTGTTGTCTATGATGTTCATCTAGTGAAAGATCAAGTGATAGAATTAAAACCATACAAAATTGGATATAACCACACCTACTACGTCATGCGCGGGGTTGCCGTTGCTGCGTCGCCTTATGGTGAGGAGGTCCAGCTTGGTGCCGATGATGTTCTTGCGCTTAATGCGGAGACAATTACAACGATCAAGGTGAAAGAGGACATTCGATTATCTATCGGATATGTCCCATGCGCACCGGATCAGACACCTGGTCGTTTTATAGTTCGGCGTCTTGATGATATTGTAGGTACTCCCAAGAATGTATTTTGGCAACGAGGCTACAGCAGACGACTTTTTGTAAAAGCAGACGGCTTCAATATTGGAATTACCAACACGACTCTTTTCCCCAATTTCAGGTCTCCGCTTTATTACCCAAACCACGTGGAGGCTGTGCTCATGTTCAAAGGCTCTGGGAAATACATATGGAATGGAGGTGAAGAGTCCCAAGAATTTGATGAAGAGAAACACGATGGTACAATGATCCTTATCGACAGGCATGAGCAACATGATGTCGAATTGTATGATAAAGGAGCAGAAGCTATATGTTACTTCTTCCCTGCGTTGCTAGGCCACGAAACGCATGATTTCACAAAGGGAGACGACAACAAATATTCAGCTTATGGTAATTGACAAACAATTTGAATAAATTAATTCAGCATAAATAACTAATAGAGTAATTGAGATATTCGACATATGGCAATTAGCACAGGATTGGGACGACCTATATTCAGCAAATGGTAATCTACAAAAAAATGATTGAGGGAATCTATACTCAGCATATACTGTATAGTACTCGTAACAGAGTAACAATTGAACAAGATATTCAGCAAATAATAACTGAGTGACCATTGATTGAGATATTCAAAATACGGTAATTAATAAACGATTAAGATGACTTACATTCAGCATATGGTAATGGAGTGGGAAATAATTGGGACAATCTATATTTAGCAGTTGTTAATCGAGTAAGATTTGATTGGGTGTCAAGTGATTGATATATTCAGAATATGGTAATTGAGTAACAAGTGACTGATATATTCAGAATATGGTAATTGAGTAACTAGTGATTGAGATATCCAGAATATGGTAATCGAGTAACTAGTGATTGAGATATTCAGAATATGCTAATTGAGTAACAACTCAAGTGACTGATATATTCAGAATATGGTAATCAAGTAACAAGTGATTGAGATATTCAGAATATGGTAATCGAGTAACAAATGATTGATATATTCAGAATATGGTAATTGAGTAACAAGTAATTGGGGCAAGAAAAAAGTATTTGTTAGTCCATTGTATGTCAAGTACATCAAAAATAACGTACCCTTTGCATTTGTTCGACTTCACTTCTTAAAAGAGAGTTTCGTGTCCATCATGGGAAGAATTTAAATAAGAAACAAAGGCCATTCTGGAGTCTTTAGAGTACCTGCATATTTTGCAAAACGTTGCATCACAAAAAAGAATAACGTTTAGTCTATTAAGATCAATTGTTTGTCTACGTTTATATCAAATCTACAAGAATGATATTTCAAACAGTCTATAAATCATTATAAGGACTACAATGGTTTTATTATGAAAATATGACGTATATTTATTTTATATTTTTTCTAGTTTACTATACACATTTTTACAATGTCACCAGTACTGAATATACAAGGGGCGATCCATATATTCTGATAAAAATGCTCTCATTTTGTGATTTTTTCACATATCCCTTTCATTTTTTCAGAACATGTAGATTATGTAATTACACATACGATGCTAAAATATTTAAGCTGTATCTTAAATTAATTTTGAAATAAGGTTGCCATGGTAACCTGTATTTAGGGTAGGCAGGTCAGTTAAATTATAACGTCTAAAATAGATAAATATGTTAATTTAATCATTTCTCAGTATCTATTTTAAGCAGATCAAACGCATCTTCCAGTCATTGCCAACTATTCATTGATCTGTTCCACACCCCTGTTGTCCTTGTTTGATCATTTATACAGTGGAATAGCTATCTTTTCATAAGTAACATCTCAATTCATCGTAGTGTTATTCTCTGTCCGCAAGCTCTTCTTGCACCCAGATTGCGGATGATCTTCAACAGTGACCATGCCTTCCTCTTTACAATACTACCTATAGATTCTTTATGCAGATATAACACCTTGCCCATGCACTTTATGAGTCCATGTATGTCTCTGACAGTGTCATCTTACTTAGAAAATCAAATCTAATGGTATTCCTTAATGTATCCATTAATGTGATACTCTGCATCAGCCACATTAACCTAATCTGACAATTTGATTTTTGGTTTGTCTCATAACATGTAATGTCAATTGGCCCATTCTGTCCTACAATGCTATTGTGATTTGTTGTGATGTTATAGTGAGCACATATAAACATTTGTTTAGCAAAAAACAACAAGTAACAATACACCAAACTTTTTTAGAAAAAATGCATGATTTCCGCATGCTTTAAAATAATTAAAATAACAAGTTATTTTGATATTTATATGTTATAATTAAATTGACCTGCCTACCCTTAATACAGGTTACCATGGCAACTTTATCTCATTGATAATTTAAGATATAGTTATAATATTTTAGCATTGTATGTGTAATTACATAATCTACATTTTCTGAAAAAATGAGAGGGATATGTTAAAAAATCACAAAATGAGAGCATTTTTATCAGAATATATGGATCGCCCCTTGTATATGTAAATCATGTTCGCTCATATAATTATTATTGAATGATCTTCAGACTTTCTCTTTAATATTGTTTGATAATTAATAGATGAACAGGCACAGTCAGAAAGCAATTTTCATCAAAGTCCACTATTAAATTAGCGATATTCATGTTTTTGTTGTGGCATTATATTTGTTTATCTCCATGGTGATTTCACCATAGCTTGCGTTTACACAGTCCCATAATTTCACCATCGTAATAAAAAAAATGGAGTCCATGTTATCTATCAAATAGTTCATCCAATCCATAGTATCTACAGTAGGTGACGTAGTCAATCTTATATTAGGCGTAGTCCATCTTATCCATGGTCAGTAACATAAGCATCCTGTCTTATCACCAGCCATGGCAGAACTACTGTCCGTCGTCAAAGAAACATATCTTAAAACATATCGCTTAGCGATTAAATTTTCGAACCAGCTATGCCCTCGACCTGGCGACAAACATCTAAATGTTTACATTTCCTAAGACACAACGACAGTTTCATAGTTGTAGCTTCATCTTGATTTTCTTCCTTCCATCTCAGGAGACTGTTGAAACATTTTTCCCTCATGCTCGAATACTCATCGTCCACGCTCTGGATGATAGACCGAGAGAGTCCAAGCTTGGAGACGAACTCCTGCCATTGGTTAACGACGCTCGGACTTTGCGCAACAATAACGAACGCACGCTTCAGGTAGGAATCTGAAAAAAACGAAATGTGCTTAATTCTCAAATGTAACCAAATTGTTTTTAGTTGGTGTTTCACAAAATCGTCTTAGTAAAACACTTAATATACTTCTAATCAAATAACTTGAAAACACGTTCACTGTCACCACAACCATTGAATGTTTGTGAACTGAGGAGCATTTTTCATTTACATTTTACTAATTTACATATGCTTAGTGCTTACCTCGTACACTGGCTGCTTTAGTTTCTCTGAATTCCCTTTCTCTATCCCGTATTTCTTCTACCAGATCAACTCTACCAACACTCAGCAATGCGTTACACAGTATATCCACCTAAATTGTACAATTAATGTTAGGCCATTCAATAATGTCAATACTTGAGTAGAATAAGCCACGATATCTCAAAATAATATCACCGTCAAATAAGCCGTACGTCGTCGTGGTAAGCCACGCCCTCTCCACCTCTATCTTTCTGGAGAGATCTGCGATGCAACAGAGAGAAATGCTATAAGTATCAGAATGGCCGTACGTGGGCAATGAAGCAGTCACATGAACATATCTTAAAAATCACATTTCCTCCCAAAGTAGAACCTTTTAACGTATATGTAAATATTCACCTTATTCATGGATCGCGGCACTCGTTTGGCCCATGTTACCAACATATCAAAGGCGGCTTGGTCTGTAGCCTCTGCATTCACGTTGTCCCGCAGAATGGCTTGGATGCGCGTACCCTTCACGTTCAGCTGACTGGCAAGACGTTTCCATTCTTCCCCTAACTCGGTTGACAAATGTCGCAATGTCTCATCGTCCACTAGATCTACAAACAATAGAGTACGAAATAAAGGCATTGGAGAAAATCCATATTTAAAATTTTGAAGAGAATCTATGGTAAAATGCAGCAACAGAAAATGCAGCAAAGAACAAAGACACGTCCATAGTAAAACACAGGAGGCATCCTGAGAAGTCATTCAGCGCAATTTATATGTACTGCTCTTGATCTGGATAAAGAGCTACTATTACCCCATCATGATGATTGCTGATTTGATATTATTATGGAATTAAGAAATATAGACCGAAGAGCAGATATTATATCGACGAATAAATACCTCAGGGCTACATGTAGGTACAAAGTTTCCTGAAACCCGAACGACAGAAGGGAGTGAGGAGTTCGAAAGCTTTTGTGCCTAGCCCTGAGATAGTTATTACTCAATATAATACCTGATCTGAGGTCTATATTACGATTCGAATATAAATACCCCGGATAAATATTCATCAAAATTTGGCAAAATCGTCACTTCATTTCCTACTTCCGGTACACTAACCAGATATTGTATCGACAAATAAATACCGGTAAAATATTGACTTTGTTCACAGTTTGCGTGAATACAGTATATTGGATAAATAATTTTCTCTTACCTTCTGATTTAAATGTGACTGGTGCCTTAATGATGGGTTTTGGCGCTTCTTGTTCGGGCTGGAAATCAAGACATATGGTTTAGGAAATATTTTAACAGAAAACCTAAAGTCTACTTAGTTAGCGGGCCATTAAATGAATATCTCTAGAAACATATTTTCATCTGCATTAGTTTATCCAGTGACAGAAATTACAAACATTTTTCTAATAAGTGTGGGACAATAATCCAGATGTGACACAATTTCAACGCGGCTAAGAATACTGGTAGTTCATTCTTACTTTTGGTAAATTGATGAGCATCTCACATAGCAAAATATTTCCCTCTTCATAGACAATCTGTGTTTTTGCTTTTCCCCCACTTCTGTTCCCTCTATCATCTTCAGTCTGTGCCACTTCACGAGGAATAAGACCCCTGGTGTTAAACTGCGCAAAACCTCTGTAACAGTTTATTCCTTTTTGCGCAAACTTGTCCAGTTCAGTCACATAAAATTCAAGTTTTGATTTTAAATGAGAATTAAAACAGAATTTCAAGTCCCCCGTCTGTGTGTCCTCATCCTCAAAATCATCCTCGTATTCTGTATTTCTACATATATTTCCTCTAAATGATAACGTTATGATTTGTCCTTCTTTAAGTATAATGTCATCACTTGGCGATGGACCTTCTTCATAACCAGCCTCACTCATCTGTTTCAGTGTTTTATCAACTTTGTTTAGATTGACACAGTTCATGCAGATATCCCCGGGGTCGTCATTATTCTGTTGTAAGACAACTTGAACCACTCTGTGACAAAGTGCTTCGTCCAGTGCTTTGGCCATCTTTTCAACCTTTGGGACAGGTGTGTCCACTTGGGTTCGTAAAACAACAAACCTGAAATAGAAGATCACGATTTAAATCATTATCATCTATATTTGTTCATTTGTATATTTCATTTAAACTTATATTATATACTTATATAAACTTAGATATCGTATTTCTTAGTCACTATTTTAAAGCAATATAAATCACCCGCGCCATGTTGTAGACACTGTTGCCTCGCCTTGAAATATTTTTAGCAATGCTTTTTTATTTTAAAGCAACAATACAAAAGGCAACTACTACCAATCGTCTACCACTACCAATAGCCTTGAAATATCTGTGATCTTATCCTTGTGCAACACCCAGAGTCTTTTTTAGATGAATCAAAACCAAACTCCAGTAAAACACAACCCCCCATGAGGTGAATCATGCTATACTAGCCCATATAAATAAACAGTATGATATCCCTCACTTTGAAATGTTTTGACATGTGTAATGCCAATGCATTCTTCTGCAAAACAATCACACAATCATTGAATAAAATGAAATCTGCATGCATTTACCTTTCCAATGGAGTGTCCACTTCAAATGTAGCAGTGTCTTTGTTTTTACCCTGTGCAATAACAACATTCGATACAGCCTCCCAGGCGTCCGTCTCTGCGTTCCTGTATAGCAGGTGTAGATTGTCCTCTTGTAGCGAAGCAGTATCTATAGCATACAGAAAAACAAGATGTATTTTAATGTGCCAAATTAAATATAATGTTCATGAGATAGCTAGATTTATTATACCACATGTTTAGTATTTTCCTTAATTTCTTCGGTTTGAACGATGTCACCAATAAGTTAAAATATCACAGGAAAGTATTGGCTTTATAATTATGTGGACAGGCGATACCAAAAGTTTCCACCATGCGCTTCAACTCGGGCCTCATCGTTATACATTTTTGACATACCATCTGCATCTTTGTTCTTTAATGGAAACGCCGACTTTGGTCTGTTCACGGATGACTTATTTTCCTTTTTCTCTACTGCCGTCCCTGGCCTCTTGGCTCGTAACATCGGATTCGGTGGAACAGGTAGGGTGAATGTCATCGGGCATTTTCTCTTGGGTGGCCAAAGCTTTAATATGGGGCTTGATGCTAAGAGACTCCCACACAATTCGACCTGCCTCATCTTCAGATCCGACACTGCGGCAAGGTCTACTGGTTGAACCTGGAAGACATATGGCTGATCTTGACGATACTGTCGTATTTAAAGTATTTTTTGAAGTTGACTGAACAATATTAGTCCTGAATGAAATAACTGTGATATTCCTTCAACAAATTGACTGACGTTTACATTTGCAAACTATTGGCAGAAAAACTTCAATTGATATGAAGAAAGACTGAGCTAAATCTTGGGGCAATTGAGACAAGCTGTCTCTCTTTCTTAAGAGACGAGGAAATATGTAAAAGGTCAGTACAAACCTCAAATTGGATGTTGGTATTGACTCTGAAGGCACCAGGGCTGAAGCCCATGCAGATTCTGCTGTCAATAGACGAGAAGAATTTGCCGCCCTTCTTTGTGACTGTGATTTGGTCTTTCTTGAACTTCAACACGACAGCGAATGTTCCCATCCTTTTAATCTTGGCCTCTACAAACTTCAACTCCTAATAAAGGAAATGTGTATCAAGTTAATGAAATTGATTTGATCTGCAGATAATGAAAGTGCTTTTAAATTTATTCATCCAGCTATTATACATACGGTATAAAGGTGTCTAACTCTAAATGTATAAGGCGTCTGATTAACAACACCATTCTACTAAACAATCCAGAATAACTCGTTATCGTTTAAAAAAATGGCACAAATGATGAACTAAGGTGAAATACTGACCTTCATATCTTCAAACTGGACTTCTTTTGTCTGTAATGGTTTCCATTCCCCAGTCTTAGAGTCCAATATCTTAATAATGGGTTCCTTCGTTGGGTTATTCATTCTTGGTGCACATTGAGGGATGGCAAGATGAAACGGCTCTTCAAACTGTGAATAAACAACTTATGTAAGCACATGTGCCCAAGATGGAAAGATCACAAAGAGCATTACAAAAACGCTATTAGAGCCCCACTTGCTCTTCGATGGAATCTTAGGCGTGTGACCCGTGAGGCTAGTGAAACAAGAACTATCAATGTGTGGATTTAGAACAGGTCACTTCTTTTTGTACATGTCTATAACTATATATTTCAGAAAACAAAACAAAAAACACATTTAACTCTGTCTTATATCGTCTTTACATTACCAGATTAAGTCCATTTAAACTTTTGTTTGTGTTTATATAATTATCATTTAAAGATTTACAAAAATACATAGCAATCTGTCAAAATCGACAGCAAGATCGAGCAGTCTATTCATGTTAGATGCTCTCAATGTGCACTACTCACATTTATTTTCTTTTTGGGATCATCCTTGCTTATCCTGATTATGTTGCTGACCAATTCTTCATTTGGAGCAAGTTGTAAGACATCATCTAATTGGCTGAGTTTTTCACAGATGAGGTCCTCTTGGTATATGACCCCCTTCATCGCTCTGATCACACAGCCCATGCCTTGGTCCCAGTCTTCAGATTTCACTCGATAACTAGAATTACACATGAACTATAAGTCATACTTCCTTCAAACAGAACACTAACTTCTCTTTGGATCCTGTTTCCAACGAAATGCAATTGAGCTAAATCTCTATGAATTCAATCATAAACAAGCTTCAACATTCTGGTCAATGGGAGTTTTTAAGTTTTTGGAGAGAAGTGTCCATAAACCAGTATCTGAATTGATAGATTAACTGAATAAAATGATTCGGCACTCTCAACAGTGTTTTGAAGATGTTGGATTTTTCGCATTATTCTAGTTTTTGGGATGATACACAAGACGTTAACTTACAAATATGGTTCCCAGTTCTTTGGATCTCTTCTTGCTGCCTCTTGGCGTTGTCTCTCCTCTTCCTCTGCTATTCTTGCTTGTTCCTCAGGAGTTCCTTTCAATGCCTCCAACTCCGCTCTCTTGCGCTCTTCTTCCATTTTAAGTTGACGTTCATATTCTTCCTTTGCCTTCCTTTCCTCTTCCATACGTCTCCGTTCTTCCTCTTCAAATCTTGCCTTTGCAATAGCTGCTCGTCTTGCTTCTTCTGCAGCTTCCCGTGCCTGTTCTACTTCATTAGCTGCCCTTTCTGCTTCGAGGGCCGCCTCTGCCGCCTCCGTTTCAGCCTCATTGGCGAGTTTCACTGCTGCTGCAAGATCAGCATTAACGGCAGTGATCTCCTTACGGGCATTAGCCGCTTGTGCATAATTTTTCAATTCTTGAACCGCCTTGTCTTCGTCTGTAAAAATGAAAAGAATGCAAACAGTGGTTTGAAAATTAGAATTACAGAAATATCAAAAAACAATCATGAAATGATTAACAATATTAGCTATTTATTTCGCTTGTTTATATCTTTTCGGTGAGGCCATAAGAAGCCGATTTTTATATATCATTAAGATAATAGGCATTTTCTCTGGAAAACAGTCAATAAGTATTATATACTGTATCGCTTTAAAATGTCTACAACACTCTTTTGTTAGATTTTTGAAGTGGTGTGATTATATTGATATTCTTTACTTTGGCAGAAAGAGCATAGAGGCAACAAACGCTATAGAATTTGTGTAAATATGAATAGGTAATAAATATTGAATATTTGCACGTATACTGTATTGACTATTTGCACGTTTACTGTAATCGAATCACGTTTGGTACAGTTATGGTTTATAAGTAAAATTACAATGATTTCTGTATTGATATATTGGGGTGGTATTGTTTATTTGAAGACTGCTAAGGGAAAACTTGGGGCGAAAGAGATTCTTCATCTCTTCTCGTAGATTCTTAAGTTAGGAACCTACCGTGAACCTATACCTTGAAAACCGATCAAATTTTTCTAAAGTAAATGTTTCTTCTCATTGACTTTTTGGCTTAACGGGGACATTAATACCAATAAGGTGATTTACAGGGGTAGACGTTCACGGAAAACTGACTAGTACCATGAACAGAAGCCCAGTGTTACAGAAATCATCACGGTTTCCAATGGATTTGATATTAGGCTATCCCTTGTTATTTTGGGCCTAGATTAAGTATAAGCTATAATGGAAGTAGATGTAGTCACTTTATAAAATATTGAGGGAAAGGTGGTGGGAGGGAAACGCAAATCCTAAAACTATTAAAATCTATATAACATCTCCTATACCTGATTGAGTATTAAACGCCGATCCATTCTCAATCCATGTGTTCAAGCCATCCGTTGATAACTTTTCTTCAAGAATTTTGAAGATTGACTGCGACGTCTCTCTCACTTCCACAAGGCCCTCCGTCAGTTCACTTGCAAATTGTTCCCATTTTTCAGCTATGGATTTAGTCCTTTGTATTGCCCTTTTTAAAGATTTGATATGCTTGTAGTTTTTTAGAGGACATTCATTAATCCAATCACGTTCCTGTGTAAGTCTTTCAATTAATGGTTTGAGATGTGAATTAAAATCCAAACTATTTAAATCAATGGGTTCCTCCTCGACATCTTCTTCTTCCTCCTCGTCTTGTTGTTGCGTTGTGATAATGTCTTCTTGATCTACATGCGGAGTTTTAACACGATCTTCTTCACTTGTGTCAGTTAAACGTGTACCGTCATTATCATCTGTCGTTTTATGTTCATCATTTGTTTCATTCCTATTGTTATCAGAGTCAACCGGTTTAACTTCAGGTGTATCGTTGTCATTTGTGTTATCACCATCTGCGGTTGGTTCTTTCACTTCAGCTGTATCGTTGTCATTTTTGTTATCGCCATCTGAGTCAACAGGTTTATCTTCATGTGTTTCGTTGTCATTTTTATTATCGCCATCTGCGGTTGGTTCCTTTTCTTCAGCCATAACGATACTCGACGCAACCGTTGCTATGAAGTAAGATGTATTTGATTCTCAATATGACACAACAACGTCCTAGAAATAGTCAATTTGTGAACATTATCAAGTTCACCGACGTATCGATAAAGTACTGTCTTAACAGACGTCCTAAATAACCCAAAATCACTGATCTAAATATACACTTTAATCTAACAATTGTTCCACAGAGGCGGCTTGTTTGTACCACAATAATTTTGGAACCAGTACAAGATCACGTATGCTTAACTTAACTATATTGATTCTTCCTTATTTAACTTTCATTTGTGATCAAGAGACCCTTTGACATTTTCATTGATTTCTCCTGTTCTCTTCCCAATAAAATGCCTAAATGTGCTTTGTTTCTCGGCTGAAAGGACCTTGTTCTTTTTTGTTTGTTACTTGTTTTGAATGTATGCAGCTGTTAATGTTTTATCCGGAGTTGTAATACTGAGCAAATACCAACATTGTATGGGACTTCTGTAGACGCACATGTTTTGGTTGAAAGGTTGTTTAGAGAAAACATGTTTGAAATAAACAAAAAAGGTATTCTGTGCTATTTATAATTTTGGTCAAAGTATATGTAAAAAATGATCAATATCGATCTTACGAAGCTCAGCGTCAATATTCCGTTGCATTGTGGGCCTGTACAAGAACCTTCATTGTTTGATTGGATCAATGGCTGGTCGCCATGGCGGACTCAAAAGACGGATTATACTTATGCCAACTTATTTCAATGGTTAATCCGACAACATTTCCTTTCCGTACCTGATAACATTAGAATGAGATCAACTTTCAGTACAAATATTAATTTACTTCATTGTAGTTTGCAATTCAAGTGTTTATTTTCATATTTGGCCTTGAAAGGTTTGGAAACTCTGGATCACAATGTTTTAAATATATTCCGTTTCCTTGTTGTCTTAAGCTTCAAGTGGAAACGTTTATTTTGACGATTGTTCAAATAAGACTTAATAACTTAGAAGCCTTTTTCATACTTTAAGTTACATTTTCTATCTTGATTCACAAGCTATTTCAGTTGCTCAATCTTGAAGGTTGCAGATGATTGTATATCCATAACATAATTATTCATATAAATAAAATCGTTCTTTCGCAAAGGAGTAGGATAGAATTGTCTAACTATTTTCTCTCATGTACAGTGGCGCTTTAAAAGACATATTATGACCTCTAGTTTCACTTGTGGTACACGTTTTCAATTCACAACATTTAAAAATGTTTTCAACTTTTTATTTTTCAAATATTCAAATTTCCCGCCGTTTTTTAAATAGGCTAAAGTTTTTGAAAAATGTTAAATTTTTCGGTCAATCTTTTCTAAATTTTCTTGATTCTTCAAAAAATCACTCCCGTATTCATGGTGGTAATCTATGATTGTTATATGAGAACTAAGACTAAAAGCATTTTTCCCTGAATCACTTTCATGCATGGCGATGAATCAGTTCAATGATTTCTCGCTTATTTATCAACCTTTTCTTGATCCTTTTGATAAAAACACATAAGGAACTGATTTTATTTTATTCATTTATTTTATTTATTCTATTTTATTTTATTTTTTTATCATAGATCTATTTCTACCCACAGCACTCATTATACGTCCATGTTTAATGTAAATGGTTCCCAGTGCACACATGAGCTTTCTCTTGAAAGCCCATGGTGCACAGTAACAAGCCTGTACTACTGGTGCGGTAGGTTGACAGTCGTTCTAGGGTTTCTCAACATAATGGGACTTCCTAGGGGGTACAGTGGCTAACCAGGAAGGTTCCTTTCAATTTTAAGATGATCTATTTTTAAATGGTACACGGTATATTGACATTTTAAAGAATCAGTCACTCAATGTGAATTCTAGTAGACTGACTAGTGACTAAAACTAACCCGACAATGCTAAAAGTTAAAAATCTGAAGCTTTCGTCATTATCAGAACCATGGACTGATGTCAAAACAAATTCAGAACTTCCTTAATATTTCGTGATTACACGCCGGTAATCTTTGTCAATGATTTAATCAACTTCCGGTTTGAAACTTTTTTGAAATTTCACCACTTATTCAGCCGATTTCTCGATTTAAAGGACCTAAATGTACCCCTTAATAATGTAGTATGAGCAACAAATGAATCTAGAAACCTTTCGTATCAAATAATGTAAGTATATATGAGATTTAAGTTCACAAAATATGATACTATTATTTTTTATTTTTCAAAAATTCGATTCAATCAATCAAATATTCAATCAATGTTTTGAATCAATGAATGAATTTCGAAGTCCAAGAAACAGACACAAGTGACGGCAAGTGTCAGATGGAGTGTCCAGATAATCTGCCAAAAATGTTTTTCAGGATGCTATGTGACTATATCTCAGCAATGTCAGGGTAATGGAGTCTAGTCAAATATACAGCGCAATAGTTGTCCTCGCTGTCACAGTTTGCTATTATAATGCACTGGAATGTGGTTTTGTCTTTGACGATGCATCAGCCATTAAGGAAAATAAAGACTTGCGTCCTAAGACCCCCATAAGTAACCTGTTCTGGAATGACTTCTGGGGGACACCTATGCCTAAGGTAATTATCTATATTTGTGTATTCATTTACCAAGACTTATTCCAAGTGGCGTAAATGACCATGTGTGGTATGGCACTTGATTTGAGACAGCTACAACAGGCCCGTAGCCAGGATTTGCCAAGGGGGGTTCACTTTTTGAAAAATTTCAAGGGGGGTTCACTTGTGACAATTTTGGTCCAAAAATGGCCAAAATCACTTAAAAATTACTCAGAATGGTGAAAAGCTGCATGGTTTGAAAGATTCTTTGGCCAGGGGGGGGGGGTTCGCTCGGACCCATCGAACTCCCCCTGGCTACGGGCCTGTACAACCTATGAAAGAAAAATGTAAGTCTAAGATCATTATTTAGAAATGCATCTGGGTGGAAGTTTTAAGGTCATATAAACTTGAACTCCATCTTGAACATGGACCAAAATCTTTGGTATATATATCTTTTATTGACTCTTTTAGATGTCATATCATGACATATTAGTCACTAAGGTAGAGCAGTTCTTCCCATTGTCGAGTTAAAGAACTGGTATCTTTATCCTGGCTAGAACCATAGACAATTCTAGCCAGCGCCAGCCTTTTATCGAGTTAGCAGCACTCTAGTAATCGCCGGTATAGGTCAGCAGTCATAGGTCAAAGACAAATCACAAGAAGTATACAGGCTTTGTCCTGTCTTCCCTTCCTATTATCAAAGTCCTGAGGGATGGGACAATATCAGGAAACCATGACAACTATACCATAAATAAATTTCTCTATTAAAACAATTGCTTTCCTCCCAAGTGATGTTCCAAAGATGATAAAGATATTAATCCAACTCTGAGAAACAATGGACAAGAGCCCCATCTTAATATAAGATGTTTTTTTCAGAAATCACTTGCCATACCATACCTAGTTTCTTCACAGTTGTGAACAAAATGGGTCAAAACATATAGAGATCACACTTCATTAAAATTATATTACATCATAATATATTGTATCATATTATAAATACATGTAGTCATTACAATGGAGTCTATATTACATTTGTACATGATGGAGACATAGCCAAGAACATTTTTTTCTATTTCATGATTACACACTCCAAAATGTATGGAATTATACAAACTTATCATTTGATAACATTATTTTTAATATCACATTCATTGTATGACATAGTAATATTATTACATTGCATTATATTCTTCATACAGGAAAAAAGTCACAAGTCCTATAGACCACTATGTGTGCTAACATTCAGACTGAATTATGCCTGGGGAGAGTTGGATCCTGTAGGGTACCACTTAGTCAATGTCATACTCCATGCAGCAGTCTGTCTTATCTTCATGAGGTATGTTCACTTATATTCTTCATATTTATGTATAGCACTGGACAAATCAACCCTATGTACATATATGTATTATCAGATATGTAGATACAATACTTTGCAACATAGTTTTTATTAGCTAGCATAACATATTTATAACTAATAATCAAGGTGTGTCTATGCAAATCTGAAAAATATTGACCATGCATGGAATGAGTTATTTCCTGAAAATAACATAGGGCTCCACTTAGGAAGCTATAAAATTTCTGAACATATGGAACTTTGTTCTTTTAATTGCTTCAATATATACAGGGTGAGCCAAAAACAATACCCAACTTCAAATTAGGATAAAAATAGTTATGTTCAATATGGTACATTGACTTATATATGGTTGGTTTTTTTTACAATTAGACACCACAGCCTTTTATATGAGTTTTGAACCACTCCTATTCAAGTTTGAGGACATATATTTTGCATCTGTATGTTTAGACTGGAAGATTTTATATGGTTGTTTATTACAGGGTCTGCTGTAGTGTGATGTCTGAACTGTCCAGCTTCCTTGCTGCCTTATTGTTTGCAGTTCACCCAGTGCATACAGAAGCTGTAAGTTTACGCTAAATATGGATGAAATTTTCTAATACAGAGTGAATGTTAAGATACATGTACAAACAGATGAGAGTTTTTACCTGGACACCCATTATTTACGATCATTACCTAGACACCCATTATTTACCATTATTACCTGTACAACAATTATTTTTGTTTAAGTATAGCTTCTATAATATTTATTTGTTTACATTGTCTAATTATAGCAACATGTTGTTCACCTGAATGTATGTTTCTCTCTGAATAGGTCACTGGAGTGGTAGGTCGAGCTGAACTCTTGTCTTCTATCTTCTTTCTTGCCGCCATAATGGCCTACTCTGCTGCAGCCTCTAGCTCAATACACACAGGTAGGGGACAACTGCAAATGATCATCGCAGATGATTTACAACAGGATGTACCTAAAATGCAAGCTACCTAACAATGCATATCTTTTTAATCAATAGAGTTTGACAAATCTTTTTTTGGCACAATTGAACTTGGTTGAATGTTCTTTAAGTTGACAGTGTTTCATAATATTGTAATAATTGTAGCATGTGTATTGTGTATGGTCTATTTGTCAAAACAGATTCGTCAGGAGGAGGGTGTTATTGTCTTTAATAATTAAGCTTTCTGCTTTAATTGATTTTCAAATATCCTGTAATATCCTGTCACATCTTCAGCATCTATTAATTAATTCATATTTAAGCTGTAAGTTGGAAAGCACTTCATTGATCTACTTCAATGGACTTTGAAGCTCAGTCTAAAGATAAACAACATTATCTATAAGTTTCAATTTCAAAACAGTCAACACTTCTATTGTATGTCACTCATATCCATTGATAAGTTTAAAAGTAAACAGGTGATTTGGTTTAATTTCCTCAGATGAATGTGGTTTGTATGTTCAGAAGTAATAATTTACTTGCGTATTCTTTTGCAGACTGGAAATATGTCGGTGTGACACTGATGCTAGTTGCTATAGCGACACTATGCAAAGAACAAGGAATCACTGTAGTTGCAGTTTGCTGCGTATATGACATCTTTGTTCTACAAAAGGTATCAAACACCAGAATTTAATCTAATGTATTATTTTGTCACAGTTATCAAGTTATCTTTTGAACAAAAGAAGGTCCAATTTTACGAGACTTTTTTTTTTTTAGGTTATTGTTATTTATTTCTATAATATTCAACATAATTATTTACATAGATTGTGAGGGGCCGAGGCTACATAGCATTATTGGCCCCCCTCTAGAAAGTTAAAAACATATAATAAATCACTGGAGTGTGTAGGATTGCAACGGACAGACGGTTGTCCACCAGGTCTTGCCCATGATGATGTATATGAGTGTTAATGAGAGATGATGTGAAATGAGGAGGATGGTCATTCTAAGATGTTATCGATATAATTTGAAGATAGTTGAAGGCATTTTGTATTCAGTTCACTATTTAAATTTTCATCTCCATAAAGTATAAATTCTATTTTTTGCTTTCTGGTTTTTCCAAAATAGCACATAATATCAAGATTGTCTAACTTTAGGATGTTCTGTATGTAATCATTTCTATGTATGGCGGTTAGAGGGCAGTCGAGTAAAAGATGAATCTTATCTTGATTTCGGTGGCCGCAGGGGCAAGAAGGATCTATGATGTTGTTGAAATTATGTCTAAAAAAGTCACTTTTAAGGGCAAGGTCGCTTCTTATTTTATTAAGTTTAGTTTCAGAAGACCTTTTCAAATTAAGATTTTTTGTTAAAATATTCTTTTTATGAAATGTATATTTCTTATTATAGTTTTTCTTGAAGATTGCTAGGGTTGGCGATGTTTTTATTTCAGTTGAAAGATTTTTCCAAATGGAGATAGGCTTTATGGCTGGTGAATTTAGGTATTTCACAGACGCTCTCACTGGTAAAACATATTCTCTTCTGGAGCGGAGCTCCCTTTCGGCACCAGGATTGGACAGTTTTTCATATATAGAGACTACATAAGAGGGGGTCAAATTTGATCGGACTTTGAACATGTGAATACTTTGTTTTTCTTCTCTTCTCTCCGCTAGGGTTTTCCAGTTTAAACATTTATATAATTTTTGCTTGCACGTACCATAAATCGCCCCGGAAACTATCAGGGCTGCTCTGTAATGGAGTTTGTCTAGTTGTTCCAGAGCACCTTGTGACGCCGAACCATAGATTAAAGAGCCGTATTCGAATTTAGAGAGGATGAAAGAAGTGTACATTGTTTCAAGATGTTTTGAGTTTACTCTCATTTTCAATGCTGATAGGGGATTTAGTAGTTTGTCAATTTTTGCTCGGACTTCGTTTATATGAGTTTTAAAGTTTAAGTTTTTATCAAGAGTTACGAGACTTTTTATGTCACAACCAAAAAGTGGTGACATATTGTTATGGTTTCCATTTTTGACGGCGGTTGGTGGTTGGTGGTTATAGTATATATATTATAGTGTAGTACTTGTATAAAATAACATATTTTCAAAAGCTGGTACAGTACTGTTGTAACATGCAATTTTATTGTGCACATTTTATCCGAACCTGTCATGAGAGGAAAATAAATACTTAAATGATTAAAAAATAAATATTGTTTCATCTTATGTCTATAATATAATATTTTTGTGATTCATTGATTCTTACATAAGAACTATATTCCATAACGAGTACAAAGTAAAATTTTCCATGAAAAGCATATACACCTAGTTAGTGCACCGTCTCTCTTTATACTTTCAGATTACCATTCCAACATTGCTTCAAACAGGAATCTCATTATTTCGGGGGAAACCCACGAAGAACTCAAAAAATGCTAAAGTGACGTCCGGGTTGCCTCCTAAGCTACGCAGGGCTGTTACTCGAGCAATCGTGCTTCTTGCCAGCACTCTAGTCCTCCTGGTGGCCAGGATAAAAGTTATGGGTGCTCAGCTACCTGTTTTTACTAAGTGAGTAAAGTATTAGTCAAACATGTTAAGCACTAACTTCTTCATGTAGCTATCTTCTATTTTTTATTAAAAAATCAGACTTCCTAACTTTATCATGAAATAGCCTGGATGGATCGTCTAGCACTAGCAGAAAAATAGATTTTATTTTGTGTCACACTTCTTGATATAAAAAGTATGCATATTCAAACAAAACACATGTAACACATGTAAGTTTACTAGAATTGAGGCCTCTTCATTTTTCACCAGGATAGATATTGATTCATGGATTTAATTAGAAAATATAGTCTTGAGTTCTTGTAAACTCAATGTCAACTCACTTTTTATGTCCCCACCACATAGTGTGGGGCCACCACATAGTGTGGGGCCACCACATAGTGTGGGGCCATATTGTCGGCCTAGGCGCGTCCGTCCTTCCGTCCGTCTGTCTGTCCGTCGTACGTCCGGCAGTTTTCTCCAAAACCGCTACAGATATCACCTTCAAATTTTCAGGGATAACTTATGAGTGCATACAGATGTGGATGAAAATTTTTTAACTCGATACCTACTTCCTGTCAGCCATTTTGAAGTCAAATGCTAAAATCCTTGTCTGCAAAATTTAAGAAAAAAGGCTACACAGTTACTTTTAAAACTATAACATCTTGTTCAGCTCACTTCATTCTAGATCTGATTAGGTTTTGGTCCAGTCATGGCAGCCATTTTTAATGTCTTAAGAAAAGTTAGCGTGCGATAATACTTTGTATCATATTGAATGGGTTTTTTGATTTTTCATACTTTAACTATTTAGTAGCTTTATAAATAATTTCAGGTGTACTTTGTTGTAAGCCTTTGTTGTAAGCCTAAGCCTTTGTTATTGTTAATGGTGGTTATATGTGATAATTTTGTAAAAAGAAATCAGCAAAAACTCATAATCACTTTTTTATTGTCGGTCATTTTGGATTTTTCTGTCCTAAAATCTTGTTTGTATAGTCTTGTCTACGCGTTTTCAGGTGAACCGTTTGGTAGATCAATTTCAAATTTTCAGGGATGATTCTTAGTATGAAAATCTAGATCTGATCAGTTTTTTGGCATTCTGGGTAAAAGTCAAGGCGGCCATTTTGGATTTTCCGTCCTAAAACCCTGTCGGTAAAGTCTTGTCTATGCATTTCCAGGTGAACCGTTTGGTAGATCAATTTCAAATTTTCAGGGATGATTCTTAGTATGAAAATCTAGAATTGATTAGTTTTTTGGTATTCTGGATAAATGTCAAGGCGGCCATTTTGGATTTTCTGTCTTAAAATCTTGTCTGTAAAGTCTTGTCTATGCATTTCCAGGTGAAGCGTTTGGTAGATCAATTTCATATTTTCAGGGATGATTCTTAGTATGAAAATCTAGATCTAATTCGTTTTTTGGCATTCTGGGTAAATGTCAAGGCAGCCATTTTGGATTTTCTGTCCTAAAATCTTGTCAGTAAAGTCTTGTCTACGCGTTTTCAGGTGAACCGTTTGGTAGATCAATTTAAAATTTTCAGGGATGATTCTTAGTATGAAAATCTAGATCTCATTAGTTTTTTGGCATTCTGGGTAAATGTCAAGGCAGCCATTTTGGATTTTCCGTTCTAAAATCTTGTCAGTAAAGTCTTGTCTACGCATTTTCAGGTGAACCGTTTGGTAGATCAATTTCAAATTTTCAGGGCTGATTCTTATTATAAAAATCTAGAACTGATTAGTTTTTTGACATTCTGGGTAAATGTCAAGGCGGCCATTTTGGATTTTCCACCCTAAAATCATGTCTGTAAAGTCTTGTTTACGTGTTTTCTGGTTAACTGTTTGACGGAGTGGTTCTTAGTATGAAAATCTAGAATTAACTAATTTTATGGCATTCTGGGTGCCCATTTTGGATTTCCTGTCCTTAAATTGTGTCAGTAAAATCTTGTCTACTCATTTTCGGGATAACCATTTGATGAGATCACCCATTGGTGGGGACATTTTGTACACATTTGTGTTCTTGTATTTATCTCCTGTCAATCATACTTTGATCCTCTCACTTCCAAATATCTTCTATTATTGGTCAATTTGATATTGTTGTTTTTAGGTTTGACAACCCAGCATCTGCTGCACCAACTCCCAGCCGCCAGCTCACCTACAACTATCTGCTGTCAATCAATGCTTGGCTCCTCCTATTTCCAAAAAGCCTCTGCTGTGATTGGACAATGGGAACAATTCCTGTGATCCAGGGGTTCAGTGATCCCAGGAATTTAGCCACTCTTTTGTTCTACGCCATGTTGGGATCCTTGGTATATTTTGCAGTGGTCAGTAAAGGTCAAAGGACACAAGCTTTAATACTAGTAAGTTTTACTTATGATGATCAGAGGCGTAGCGTGGGTATTTTGTGAGAGTACGCCACGAGTGAGCGAAGCGAACGAGTTCGAGGGGGGTTTGGGGGGGGGTTCTCCCCCAAGAAAATTTTAAAATGAGATTGCATTTGAAGCGTCCTGGGTCGGTTTGAAATACGAAATTCCGACTTAATGTGGACCAATTAAATTCAATATTTTATGATTACATGAACCCGTTTTAAAATAATGGCATCTCAGAGAGAAAATTTAGATTATTACAACACAATTAAAAAACAAACAACACAGGATTAGAACAAATCATTTCTTTTGTTTTTCATATATGATTGTTACTGTTACTATTATCTTACTATTTAAGATCTATCCAATATTTTTAAAGTGCGGGGCAATTCATTATAAAAAATCATTTTTCTCTCAAATTTGAGAGTACGCAATGGCGTTTTTTGCGTATATGACGCTACGCCATTGATGATTGTATGTAAAAATTCACTATTTAAAATATATCTAGAGTAAATAAGTGGAAACAGCAAAGATCACTCGAACCCCCAAACCCCCTGGCTACAGGACTTTGCAATATTGTTGACTCAATTGTAAGTTTTGATGTTTTTCAGGGTCTTGCCATGCTAGTTTTACCATTCATCCCAGCATCTAACTTATTCTTCCCAGTGGGGTTTGTTGTGGCTGAGAGGATCCTCTACCTCCCCAGTATGGGCTTCACCATTCTTGTCACCCTCGGCTTTGAAGTTGTCTTGGAAAGAAAGAGGTAATTTTGAGCGATCATGTTTTCAACATAAATTTTACTTTTAGATGGTCTAAAGACAGAATAGAAAAATATTATACAGATAATTTTGATATTGATTAATTTGTCAAGTTAACTCTTCCTGATCTGATCTCATAGTAATATATTGTTTCATGCTGTTATTGTCACATGGCTTTCAGAGCATGGCGTCATCTTTTATGGCTGTTGATGGCATGTATGTTGCTAGCACATGGGGCTAGGACTGTTGTCAGGAATCGAGACTGGTGAGTTATAATTTCTGTTGTTAAAGTTGTTCTAAACATTGATTTAGATGTTCAGAAAGAAAAACAAGAATGCCTTTTTGAAAAACATTAAGTCTAAGAAAAGACATAAACCTTGTAGAATAATAGAGCCAACAACTTTGACAATCTCTTTGTACTGTAGTACAATTTCCCAATTTCTTTCTTCAACTAAATAAAAGAGGAACCTTTAATGGTCATTTTCAGGTATTCAGAATACACATTATTTAAATCTGCATTGGAAGTAAACAAAGACAATGCCAAGTTGTACAACAATGTTGGTCATGCATTGGAGAATGAACAGAAGTTTGAAGATGCATTAGGATACTTTCTACAAGCTGCTAGGTATTGTAGACCATAATAAATTAAGAGGCTGAAAGTTGAACTTTCAAAAACTACATGGCAATTTTTATTTTCCATTTCACATTTCTCATATAAAACAAAAATAATTTTGATTGTCACTTTAAGGGAACGAAAAAGAAAAAGTGTGTTTTAATTATCTCTTTTTTGGGAGGGTTTGTATGTTTGCTATATGGGAATTAATCATGTTTGCACTCTTATGCAGATATCTTGTACATTCCAGTGTCCAGCCTGATGACATAGGAGCACACATCAATGTTGGGAGAACATATAACAACCTGAATAACACACAGAAGGCAGAGGAGGCTTTTAGAGTAGCCTTGTCACTTATGCCACCTATAAAGCCAGGTAGGTGTTATGTAAGAGTTGCAGTGTTTTTAAGTTGGAAAATAAGGTGGGAAATGAGGTAGAAAATCATGTGGGAAATAAGGTAGGAAATGAGGTGGAAATAGCATATTAATTAAGGAGTAAAGTAAATATGTCCATACTTTATATGTTGTGTAGAAAATTAATTCAGATGTTATGGAGGACTTACATTGAAAACAATGATAGGTTTATATTAGGTGTAAAATCCTGCAGACAAAGCCTGTAAGTGTTGAAGCAATATCTGTGCAATGTTGAATTGGGTATTCATGTTTTATTCAACCTGAATTGAATAGGGTATGTTTGAAAAGCTGAATTTGATTCAGATGTAGAATCTTCTTACTTGGAAATTAAATCAGTTTTGTGTTGAACATTTTTTCATCAGTATTATTCTAATGATTTGATTTTCGAATACTTTTATTTTAAGACCAAAATTATTGTATAATTTCAGGTGAAAGCTACACAACAAGGATAGCTCCTAACCACCTTAGTGTATTTGTCAGCCTTGGTAACTTGGTGGCCAAGGACCCTAACAGACTACGAGAAGCTGATCAGGTAATGCATGGCTAGTTAATAATCCTCACCATGATTTTCATGTCAATGCCAGAAGTGGTGAGATATTGTTATACTGTGAAAGCCCAAATTTTCGCGGACAAAAGATTTCACTATTTTGTCAATCTGGATTGTTTCATGGGCATTAAATTTTACTGTTTGAGGAAATATCCAATTGAATTCAATGTTCAATCAAATTTTCACGGTGCCTTTAATTTCACTGACTACTGTCTAGCCTCTTCAGCGAAAATAGTGGAAATTAGGGCACCTTGAAAATTTGGGCTTTTATAGTAGTCTCTAACTTTTTTGTTGATGGTGTTTGGTGGTTGGTGCTCTATGTATGTAACAAATGGTGGTCAGTGTCTGTACCAAATGGCAGGTGGTATCATGTTTGACAATGTGACAATGCTTTGTTTGTGATCTCAAGTAGCTTTTGTTGTCATTTCGGGCCCGGGGACTATTCATGCCCATATATGGTTGTATCATCAATGTTCTGAATGTAATTAAGTTCCATCCTGGTATTATACATTAACAGGGGAGGCATCTCGCAAATAATATTTTTGCACTATTTCTATATTTCCAGCTGTATAGGTCTGCTATAAGTATGCGTGCTGACTACATTCAAGCGTACATCAACAGAGGGGACATCTTACTGAAGCTCAATAAAACCCAAGAGGCAGAACAACAGTATGAAGTTGCATTAAGATATGAACATGACAACCCAGACATTCATTACAATGTAAGATTTAATTGCCTGGATGTCAGGAATATAGCCCCAGAATATTTCAATATTTCAAATTTTAATAGATGTAATTTTGGTGCACATATTCCTTATATAAGACATTTAAGAGAATATTGATATTTAGACACAAGCAAAATGTTGATCGTCAGCAGATCATGAACTATCCTTTTCTGTTGACCAACCTGCAAATTATAGTCTGATTTTGAGAGTGTTTGATAGATTTTGAAAATCAATTACTCACTGAGTTTACATCTGTTTTTACTGCAAAATACTCATTAGATTGTCCATTCATTTTAATTCCTGCAATGTAATACCTTTGATTGAAACCAAGAGCAATATGATATGAATCCTTATGTAATGAACTTAATCTTGTAATAGGGGTGTAATCCTTTTTGAATAAAGAGATAAAGGTTATGACTGTGAATATTGGGTATTGAATATACTCTAGGGGCGAGGAGGGAAATTCTCAATAAATGGAGTATAGTTGGTTTGGCAGCATTTTCAGTTAGGGGAGAGTCTTGGATGAAATTTCCACCTAGGTGATAGCTTCACAGAGTGGTAGGAAGTTCTTTTTTTTGAAGAGTTAGCCCCCTACCCCACAAAAACACCCCACCCCAGGGAAAAAAAATTGTTCACACTAAATAACCTTAGATATTTTGATGTTTGTAAGTGACATACATAGATATTATATATATGAATCATTTGCAGTATAATCGATGCTGATTACTCCTAAAAAAATTGAATATTAGTACAAAGTGTGTACCCCAGGGGGCAAATTCGTGACCCATTTCCTTACTATTTTGATCCTAACTTTTCAACTAGACACTGTAAGAGGTTGAAAAAATTCATGTGAAGTGCCCAATAGCAGGGTTAGTAACCCTGAAAGATGCAAAGCCATGGAAGAGGTAGGAGCTGAGAAAAAAATTGTTGATTTTTCGAAAAATTTGACATTTTTGACAGCTGGATTTTGTGTATGACTATAGCTGACCCCTATAGTTCCTGGATCCATCCCTCTATGATGATATATATGGTTTTATAGTGTGGAACTAAGATGTAAAACATAATAAAGATGGGTTTTAAGGAAGTTTAAGGTTTTAAACAAGTCCAAAATTTGAAAAATTGTAAATATAAGGTTTCAAATTTACGAATTCCAGGTAGAGCCATGGCAGACCCCTATAGTTTCTAGATCCACCCCTCTATGGTGATATATATGGTATTGCTGTATGGAACTAATATGTAAAACACAATTTAGATGGGTTTTAAGAAAGTTTAAGGTTTTAAACAAGTTCAAAATTTGAAAAATTGTAAATATTAGGTTTCAAATTTACGAATTTCAGGTATAGCCATGGCTGACCCTTATGGTTTTTACATCCATACCTCTATGATTAAATATACAGTTTTAGAGTGTGGGACTAAGATTTAACATACCCAAAATGAATTTTAAGAAAGTTTAAGGTTTTAAACAAGTCAAAAATTTGAAGAATTGTAAATGTAAGTTTTCAAATTTATGAATTTCAGGTATAGCCAAAGATGACCCTTATGGTTTTTTACATCTATACCTCAGTGATGAGATATATATTTTTAGAGTATTTAACTAAAATGTAAAAGAAGCATAAGATGAGTTTGAAGGAAGTTCAAGGTTTTAAACAAGTGCAAAATTTGAAAAATTGATCTCGAAAATTGGTCTCAAATTCACGTTATTCAGGTACAGCCTTGAATGAGCCCTGATAATCAAAGGTTATGAGCATAATAGTAACAACTGTGATATCATAGCTTAGAGACCAGGTGTAGAATATATACCTGTTGCAGCAGTTAGTCTGTTGCATATAGATGGAGTGAAAAGTCATGAACTACAGTAAAATCTTTCTAATCTGAATGCTACTAGATATAGTATTTGGACCAGCTAAAAGCGTTCAAATTAGAAGTGTTTGAATTTTGAGGTTTTTACATCTGCAATATTCTGGATTTTGAAGAAATATGAATGCATTCTCAATGAAAAATATTAATAAATATTAATAATATTTATACTGACCACCCAAAAAGCTTAATAGCATTCCAAAATCCAATTCAAAAGTTTTGATATTATAACAATGCAGTGTTAAACTGACAATATTTGAGCAATTTTGTAAGAAATATGTGAGGTGTTGGGATGATTGGTAGGTGTTCACAATAGTCAGATGTTGGGATATACAGGTTTCACTGCTGATATATCATTTATACATCAAGATGATGAACTAGAACTACTGTACTAGGTGCCTTTGATAATTTTTACCACAATGTTATACTATGTCAGGAAAAGAAAGCACCAATGACACTGTGCTTGTACAACTTGAAAATCAACAACACTTTAACATTTGATAAAGGTGTCTACCAAATGAGTAATCCACATAAATTCAAATACAAGCACTTGGCATGCTATTCCCTATGATCATTAGTTTCATTAGTTTCTCTAGAATCTAAAATTGACCTTGGGTTTATGAGAGTAGTAAATTGGAATGCAGTTATATGGAATATTGAATTGGCTGGAATTGGACACACCTTGCCTAGAAATGTGTGAGTAAGCTATGATCTTATATGGATACAAACAGTTCGTTTGACAATGATCATCTTAATTCTGTAAAATCAGAACTTAAAAAGGGGTTTGAAATGGAGATCGATGAAACCATACCACAAATTGATAAAACTTTCGTGATTGATGCAATGGCTATGACAAAGGGAAAATGAAGATTAACTTATATGTTGAAATTTGGAGAGTTTTGGAAAGCTATATTTGACTACTCCATCAAATCTAGTAAAGGAGCCCAAAGAATAGATTTCATATTAGACTCCTAGCTAGTTGTCTCCATCAGTAAAGGATTCTGAAAGAATGCGAAGAATGGATGCTTCCCCTATTGAACTTTAATCCATAGAAGAAATTACACAATAACCTAAAAATATGAATACCTTTGTCCAAGTAATATAAGACAAATTTTCAAAGATTACAAAGAAATTCAATAAAGCAGCATTCTAAAAGTGTGCCAAATGTCAAGATTGTTTTAAGTGGAACTATTGGAGAGAACTCAAATATCTGTGAAAATGATAATTAAATCTCAGGTTAAATTCCACTCCTGAAGAGGCTGATTTAAAAATTATTCACTCTGTTTTACATTCAGCAGAACATGTGGGACTGCAGTAATTTGCATCAAATGACACTGATATTATAACTTTATGACTATCATTTCAATAAATGAAAAAAATTCTTCAACTATGCTAGAAAATGTCATCTGCAAAGTCAGTATGTAAACATTTTCTACAATGTCTGTTTGTTTGAAACATATTGATCATATCACCAATACTTTTTTGATCTACATGAAGATTTTAATGTGACAAGACACTTTTACCCTAGAGTTCCTTATATCATTGCACTAACGGAAGTTTCTAGGCCCGGGGGGGGGGGGGGGGGTATGATCCTTTTAATCCTTATTTTCCGGAATAATTACTGTTGCCTGATGACAAATTGTTTTATTGGGAGTGTAGTGATTATAATTTGATAATTCATAACAACATTTTGTATTAGGAGATGATCATTGCTTAGTAACAGAAGGGGCATAACAAAATATAGAGAAAACATGTTTCTTTTAATTAACCATGTCTTAATGTATTTTGATAATGCAGAACATTACATCGAACATGTTGATGTGAAAAAGTAAAAATGCTATATCACATAATAAATATCATCAAATAATAATTAATTAGTTATAATCCATTTAATCAATCAATTACTACACTGTATACGATATCCCTAGGAGCAGTTACACTTACTGGGGGATTTATTAACCTCTCACCCCTTAGGAACTCAAGGGTTAAGTCCTCAACTCTAATGATTTTTCTTTTAACAATACATGTAACATGGATCAAACCTGACCACAATATTTTCAACATCTAATTTCTAAGCTAAGTCATACATTCAAAAAGAGGGACATCCAGGGCTATACCTGAAATCGTAAAGGAGGACTGGAAGTATCGCAACAGATTTCAGCAATCATATGTTGGATTTTGGCTATTTTCTGAGGATTTGAGGAGGTGCATATGTTAGGCTAATGCATTTCCTCCAGGAAAAGCACCCATAGAGATGATAAAATAATTTCTATTTTGAGACAGGGAAGGTGCAAACAACTCACCCACATGCATAAATATATATGTGTATATGTATAAATATATGTGTTTTTACATACAGTTAACCCCTTTAAATGAAAAATACATTCCATCAGGGATTTTAAAGATATCACATATGGGTGACCAAAATTAAGCTGAAAGCAATGGATCACATGAGTTTTCCCTATGGGAAAATAACAGGAAAATATTGTTTTCTGCTTTATCTAAAAGAAATTTATCCTTTTAAAGGTTAACTATGTCTCAAAACGCAACATATTGATGCAACAAAAATTGAAAAACCAGGGGTGAACGGGGTTGAAAATCAGGACGATATTTCCCCAAAAACATGTGGGTGGATTGTTTTCACCTTCGCTGTCTCAAATTCCAAACTATTTTATCATCTCTAAGAGTTCTTTTCCCATAGGTAATGCGATGGTCTATCATATGCACCTGCTTAAATCCTCAGAAAACAGACAAAATCCAACATATGACTGTCTGAAATCTGTTGCGATACTTTCCGTGCTCCTTTGAGACCTGATATTTCTCAATTTTTCAAATATTGCACTTGTTAAAATTCTTAAACTTCCTTAAAATTCATCTTCGGTATGTTTTACATCTTAGTTTCACACTCTAAAAGTATATGTTTCATCATAGAAGTATTGATGAAAAAGCCATAAGGGTCATCCATGGCTATACCTAAAATTCGTAAATTTGAAACCTTATATTTACAATTTTTCAAATTTTGGACTTGTTTTAAATCATTAACTTCCTTAAAACCCATCTAAATGGTTGTTTTACATCTTTAGTTCCATACTACAAAACCATAAATATCATCAAAGAGGGATGGATCTAGAAACTATAGGGGTCAGCCATGGCTCTACCTAGAATTCGTAAATTTGAACCTTACATTTACAATTTTTCGAATTTTGGACTTGTTTAAAACCTATAACTTCCTTAAAACCCATCTAGTTTATGTTTTACATCTTAGTTTCACACTATGAAAGCATAAATATCATCCAAGATGGATGGATCTATAAACTATAGGGGTCAGCCATGGCTATACCTGGAATTCGTAAATTTGAAACCTTATATTTACAATTTTTCAAATTTTGGACTTGTTTAAAACCTTTAACTTCCTTAAAACCCATCTAAATTATGTTTTACATCTTAGTTCCACACTATAAAACCATAAATATCATCATAGAGGGATGGATCTAGAAACTATAGGGGTCAGCTATAGTCATACACAAAATCCAGTTGTCAAAAATGTCAAATTTTTCGAAAAACCAACAATTTTTTTCTCAGGTCCTACTTCTTCCATGGCTTTGCATCTTTCAGGGTTACTAACCCTGCTATTGGGCACTTCACATGAATTTTTTCAACCTCTTACAGTGTCTAGTTGAAAAGTTAGAATCAAAACAGTAAGAAAATGAGTCACGAATTTGCCCCCTGGGGTACACACTTTGTACTGATATTCAAATTCTTTAGGAGTAATCAGTATCAATAATACTGCAAATTATTCATATATATAATAGCTATGTATGTCACTTACAAACATCAAAATATCTAAGGTTATTTAGTGTGAACAATTTTTTTCCCCAGGGTGGGGTGTTTTTGGGGGATGGGGGGCTAACTCCTCAAAAAAAAGAACTTCCTACCACTCTGCGAAGCTATCACCTAGGTGGAAATTTCATCCAAGACTCTCCCCTAACTGAAAATACTGCCAAACCAACTATACACCATTTATTGAGAATTTTCCTCCTCGCCCCTTGAGTAATAAGAGTATTCTGTTTTATTGAAAATTGGAATTTACTGCTATTGAAAAAAGTATTAATTCAGTGCTATTGAAAGTGAGAATTTAGTGCTATTGATAATGAAGATTCAGTGCTTTTGTAAATGAGAATCCAGTACCAATATTCACGGGGGATAAGCAAAACGAGGGCGAAGCCACGGACTGCGACTCGCGTAATTCAAAACATGATTACAACGCATTATAGCTGAACAATGGCGGTAAGTCCAAACTTAATTTGGAAGGCATGTTAGGATTTGGGGTAGATTATTGGTTTGGATATTCTACAGAATAGCTAGTATGTTCCAGTCGGTGATCAACATATTCATACTCCACCTGCAATGGCATTCTTGGTGCTCGGCTGTCCAATAGTTTAGCATGATCACAAATGAATTCGAAATCTGCCACAAAAAATGTAATTTTGTCAATATTTGTCCCTAATATACCGATTTAAACAAAGGAATCAGAAATGACATCGAATTAATATAATTATTCATGTTCTGTTGTTACAATTACATCTTCGTGTGATATTTGGTAAGCGGAAAACGTACAATTACATAGACAATTGGAATTTTTAATAGTCGCAGTCCATCCATCTGTCCAACGCAGTCCACGACTCAGTGTTGCTTTATATCTGAAGCTGAACGCAATCACAGCCAAAGGTAGATAGCACAATGTGTGTACAGGTGTGGCCGAAATAGAGCAACTTTGGACAAAATTGAATATAAAGGGCTATTTTAATAGACTTACATCGTGTCTCAATCCATTCTGCAAATATATACAAGCTGTCAAATACAGCTGAAATCATGAATTTGTGGTAGCTAGCAATATTGATGGACTGTTGGAAAGATCATCCAAAATTACATTAACTCACCAACTCTCCAATTATTTGATATTTTCCTGATATCTTAAATACTAGATATAGTTAATGTACCCTTCCCCAACAGCTTTTATTGCATCATCAAAAAGTTAATTGTTTCGCATTTCTACTTCTTATAAAAAGTCTCACCACTATCCAATTATCTATATATTTAATCCTATCCACAAATTAGTTTGTAATAAACATATTACGTTGTCATCTTGCGCTCGACTGTTCTGCCAAATATGCTATTGAATTGCCATATTTCTAGGTCTTAAACGATACAATATAGCAATTTGGGACATTGATTCAGGTAATAGATATATGTTAATCAACGTAACTTTGAATGATAATCTGGATGCTGACTTTCTTTTCCTGAAACAATAATAGCGTAGGAATATAGTTTACACTTTCTTATTTATTTCGTGTTCGCGGCTGGACTGCGTTGCTTAGAATATCAATGGAGGCTGTGTTGCGTTGTTGAAATAGCTTTGTTTACTGGACTGCGTCCACTATGAATGCGCAGTTTGAATCTAATTTTCTCCTCATGAACACATTCTATTATCAAATCATTTTCACGAATTATACTCGGAGCCTCAACTAACCTTTAGATATCAGAAACGTGTTAAAACTCCTTTCAAGTGTATAGTAAATTAAATAATATGCACATATTTTACAGGTAAAATCAGAACTTTGCTACTGTTTTAGCTTGATCTGGACAACTGCTTATTTTCTTATCTACAGACCAACAGTAGATACAGAGTAATATTTTGGTCACCGATTAGACAATACGATAGCATTTAAAATTCCTGGATTTCTCTATTTTGTCGGAAGAAGCAGTAGGCACTGCCGGATGTCCCTCCATTTTGGCGCTGGGCTGCGGTGTAAAGTTACGCGAGTCGCAGTCCGTGGCTTCGCCCTCGTTTTGCTTATCCCCCGTGATATTGTAATTCACAAATTAGTTCATTTGAATAGGGAATGAATTTGCATTGATGCTTTTCTCATTTGTATTGTCTGTCCTTTTTCTATTGCAGCTTGGTGTTGTGTTGATTGAACAAGGAAGACAGCTAGATGCACTAAAGTCATTTGATCGTGCCTTGAACTATGACCCTGAACATAAACAGACTCTCTTCAATTCAGCTGTTCTCATGCAGGAAATAGGAGACCCTAAATTAAGACCAGAGGCATTTAAAAGGTAAAATTGATGAAGAATGTTGTATAAATATGATATTTATTAAATCTTAAATGTTTTTCTTGATTTGAAATAATACTCAGTCCAATTAGAACGATGAATTTTAATTGAATTTATGGATTCTGCAATACCCCCATAAATCAAATCCACATTTATTGGGGTAATTCTGCAAATGGTGATTTGGGATTGATTTTGTTGGATTTTAAGTGGTTTGTTCAAAATGTTTTCATCTGAATCGCTGATTTGTTTAAAAATGTTTTCATCTGAATCGCTGAACGTTTGTTATTTTGATTTATCAGCATTAAATGCGTCACCGAAATAGCTGGTCACATTTTTAAAGTGAGGCATCTAGTGATGAACGAAGACAAGTAAATATTCTTTGCTTGGTTGGACTATTTTGGGAAAGATATCTTACAAGAAAGCATAAAATTTAGCAAATTGATCAAGATTCTCCAAATATGTGGACTAAGTGTATTTTTTGTTTCTCCTATTGACTCTTCAAAACATGAACCAATAATTTTTGTTTCAAACATCCGTCATGAGTATCTAATTCTTGTTGTTAAGTATCTATTTGTTGTTGCTAGGTTACATGAAGTGATGCCATATGATATCTTATTGTTGCTTGTTGTTGCTAGGTTACATGAAGTGATGCCATATGATATCTTATTGTTGCTTGTTGTTGCTAGGTTACATGAAGTGATGCCATATATTATCTTATTGTTGCTTGTTGTTGCTAGGTTACATGAAGTGATGCCAGATGACCCTGACAATGAGAAAATCTACTTCAACCTTGGCATGCTTGCTATGGATGACAGTGACTTCCCAGCTGCTGAGAAATGGTTCAAGAAGGCAATACAGGTCTGAATATGTGTACATGGATTTAAAAAATTACTTTTGTGTATAAATAGATGTTTCAAAGATGTTACAAGGTCAGTTTGCTAGTATACACCGATGGAAGTATTATTTGACCTGATAGTTCATATCTGTTTTATTATGTCTTCACCTCAAGTGGTGATATATTGTTATGGTCTCCAACTTTTTGTGGATGGTGTTCGATGATTGGTGTTAGGGAGTCGGCATGCAGTGCCTGTAACAAATGGCAGGTGTTGACATTTTGCATGTTAATGCCTTGTTTTAATTTTTCACAAACTTGTATTTTTCTTTAGCTGGTGCCCAATTTCCGAAGTGCCCTATTCAACATTGCTCTGTTGTTGACCAATGATCTCAACCAGCCATTAGATGCCATGCCATACCTAGAGCAGCTATTACAGGTAATGTTTCCTATATTGTCTCCTATTGCCCAATTTCCGTAGTGCCCTATTCAACATTGCTCTGTTGTTGACCAATGATCTCAACCAGCCATTAGATGCCATGCCATACCTAGAGCAGCTACTACAGGTAATGTTTCCTATATTGTCTCCTATTGCCCAATTTCCGCAGTGCCCTATTCAACATTGCTCTGTTGTTGACCAACGATCTCCACCAGCCATTAGATGCCATGCCATACCTAGAGCAGCTATTACAGGTAATGTTTCCTATATTGTCTCCTATTGCCCAATTTCCGTAGTGCCCTATTCAACATCGCCCTGTTGTTGACCAATGATCTCCACCAGCCATTAGATGCCATGCCATACCTAGAGCAGCTATTACAGGTAATGTTTCCTATATTGTCTCCTATTGCCCAATTTCCGAAGTGCCCTATTCAACATCGCCCTGTTGTTGACCAATGATCTCCACCAGCCATTAGATGCCATGCCATACCTAGAGCAGCTACTACAGGTAATGTTTCCTATATTGTCTCCTATTGCCCAATTTCCGAAGTGCCCTATTCAACATTGCTCTGTTGTTGACCAATGATCTCCACCAGCCATTAGATGCCATGCCATACCTAGAGCAGCTACTACAGGTAATGTTTCCTATATTGTCTCCTATTGCCCAATTTCCGCAGTGCCCTATTCAACATCGCTCTGTTGTTGACCAACGATCTCCACCAGCCATTAGATGCCATGCCATACCTAGAGCAGCTATTACAGGTAATGTTTCCTATATTGTCTCCTATTGCCCAATTTCCGAAGTGCCCTATTCAACATTGCTCTGTTGTTGACCAATGATCTCCACCAGCCATTAGATGCCATGCCATACCTAGAGCAGCTATTACAGGTAATGTTTCCTATATTGTCTCCTATTGCCCAATTTCCGCAGTGCCCTATTCAACATTGCTCTGTTGTTGACCAATGATCTCCACCAGCCATTAGATGCCATGCCATACCTAGAGCAGCTACTACAGGTAATGTTTCCTATATTGTCTCCTATTGCCCAATTTCCGCAGTGCCCTATTCAACATTGCTCTGTTGTTGACCAATGATCTCCACCAGCCATTAGATGCCATGCCATACCTAGAGCAGCTACTACAGGTAATGTTTCCTATATTGTCTCCTATTGCCCAATTTCCGCAGTGCCCTATTCAACATTGCTCTGTTGTTGACCAACGATCTCCACCAGCCATTAGATGCCATGCCATACCTAGAGCAGCTACTACAGGTAATGTTTCCTATATTGTCTCCTATTGCCCAATTTCCGAAGTGCCCTATTCAACATTGCTCTGTTGTTGACCAACGATCTCCACCAGCCATTAGATGCCATGCCATACCTAGAGCAGCTACTACAGGTAATGTTTCCTATATTGTCTCCTATTGCCCAATTTCCGCAGTGCCCTATTCAACATTGCTCTGTTGTTGACCAATGATCTCCACCAGCCATTAGATGCCATGCCATACCTAGAGCAGCTACTACAGGTAATGTTTCCTATATTGTCTCCTATTGCCCAATTTCCGCAGTGCCCTATTCAACATTGCTCTGTTGTTGACCAACGATCTCCACCAGCCATTAGATGCCATGCCATACCTAGAGCAGCTACTACAGGTAATGTTTCCTATATTGTCTCCTATTGCCCAATTTCCGAAGTGCCCTATTCAACATTGCTCTGTTGTTGACCAATGATCTCCACCAGCCATTAGATGCCATGCCATACCTAGAGCAGCTATTACAGGTAATGTTTCCTATATTGTCTCCTATTGCCCAATTTCCGAAGTGCCCTATTCAACATCGCTCTGTTGTTGACCAACGATCTCCACCAGCCATTAGATGCCATGCCATACCTAGAGCAGCTATTACAGGTAATGTTTCCTATATTGTCTCCTATTGCCCAATTTCCGTAGTGCCCTATTCAACATCGCCCTGTTGTTGACCAATGATCTCCACCAGCCATTAGATGCCATGCCATACCTAGAGCAGCTATTACAGGTAATGTTTCCTATATTGTCTCCTATTGCCCAATTTCCGAAGTGCCCTATTCAACATTGCTCTGTTGACCAATGATCTCCACCAGCCATTAGATGCCATGCCATACCTAGAGCAGCTATTACAGGTAATGTTTCCAGTATTGTCTCCTATATAATACATTTTAAATTGATTGTTTTTAGTTACGGTTCTATCATGTTCTTTTACTTCAAAAAAGCTTCAATCTTTAAAGAATTATTCCTGAAATGGAACTAGATCAGGCCCTTTCACCAATTTCCAGTTGTCATTTCTACAATTTTGTAATCTGCATATCTACTTTATAATACCTATTTCAAAAACTTGGCTACATCCCTATATATATATATATACAGGGTTGGCCAAATAAAACGCCACTTTTTTTTCAAAATGCCATAACTTTTTTAATTTTTGATGCAAAATCATAATTTACATACCAAATGAAACTTGAGGTTGTTATCTAGCCATGGATCATGAATTATACATTTTTACTTGAATGAAACATGTCACCAGCATCTCACTTGCATGTGGCGTGCCATGAGAAATAAGCATAATTTGCAAAATGTTCCTGAACTAATACGGCCTGATGATCACCAAACTAATAGCCCTAATGCAAACCACAGTGATCATAGGGTATCGAAAGGTCTCCAGGAGATTGTATGAAGGCATCCAATCTAGAAAAGTGCTCAACTAAAGCTGGCAATTATGACAGGTTGAAAAAAACTTAGCTAACATTTCATTGATACTGCTATATCAGCAAAGCCACTAAAACTAAAATATATCATCAAATAGGGTGGCGGACCAATTGAACTCCTCCTATAGATGAAATATAATCAAAGTTGAAGGACTTGTTACATTAAATTATTACTAAGAACCCCTGGCACTATATAACTGCAGAATTTGGGGTATGTAGGTTGGAAAATAAAAAAGTTGTAGTCTTGAAAAAAAAGTGGCGTTTCTTTTGGCCCACCCTGTATATGTATTAGTCTGTCATATGCTCTTTTTTTGTAGCACTATCCAGAACATACTAAGGGCCTTATATTGATGGGTGACATCAACATAAATCATAAAAAAGACATTGCTGCAGCTGAGAAGGTAACATCAGATACTTTTGTATTACCACAATTAATAGTGTAGTCAAGCATAACTTAAATTGTCGTCTTTCTTTCCTTATTCTGAATTTTAGCAATCGAGGCATTGCTTTTTTTGTTTATGAAAGGGATGTAATGAAGGATTAGCCCACATTCTTGACAGCTTTTATCCAGATCCACCAAATGAAATTATTTTCACAAAAATAAATTACGCTTTTATATGGCCATAACTGGGACAACTCAACATGGTAAGCACAATGTATGTCAATGTACATAGCACATGTATGTAATTATTTTCAGAATTTCGCCAGGGTTGTCGAAATCAATCCAAAGGATGTTCAAGGCAATCACAATTTGTGTGTCGTATATGTGGAGCAGGGTGATCTCCTTAGAGCTGAACAATGTCTCAAAAACACTCTAAAACTTGCCCCAGGGGAGGGCTACATAAAGAATCATCTGGATATAGTACAGACCAGGATCAAACACTATAGGCAGCAGCAAGAAATGCAACAAAAACAGCTGAAAGATCAAAAGCAGCAAAAACATAAAGAAAACAAGTGATGTAATTTGAGTCTTAAAAATCCACATATCAACCATTTGTTGTTAAATGCTAAGGAAAGAATGTCATTTTAGGTTGCGTTAGAGTGCCAAGAGCTCTGTGCGTAGAAGTGGAATTTATCCATGATCAGAGAATGCAGGGTGACCCAAAAAAAACAGAACCAACAAATCTTTGAATAACATATCTGGGTTTTGTTTTTTGGAGTCACCCTGTACTTTTTAGTGGGGGAAAAAGAGATGGTCATGCCTTCCTTGAATTGCCATAATCATATATTGTATCTCTGACAATGCATGCTTAAGATCTCACAGAAGTCTTGTTTTAAAATTTAGAATAAGGCCAGTCAAAGTTTAATATTTGTTTTTTTTCAACTCCCAACTCCCACCCTCCAAAGCTTTGGGCCTTTGGCAGGATGTCAAACATATAATTAACTTTAAATAGAAAAGAATTGAATCATCAAGTAATAGATGAAACAAGCGTAAACTTAGAAATTCTTTCAAATCAAGCAGTTTATTCAAATTTTAGAGAGGAATAGAGTGGATTAGGCATGACCATAGGAAACACTTATGTTACAATAATACATATGTATATTCAGATGTGATTGCATTGAAGTAACACAAAACTCAGGTAAAGACAATCAATCATATCAACAATTATAAATTATACCAGTGATTCTCACGAATGTGTTTGTGAATGTTAGGACACAAGCCTATATGTAAAATGTTCTAGATTATTTATTCTGCTTGCCTTAAAGTGTGCTGATTAGATTGAAATTTGGACCTTTGGTTGCATAATTAAGATGTTGGTATATGCAAGCTAACATGTTAAAGGTCCTTGATTATTTATTCTATCCAGCCCACCTTAAGGTAGTTTTTTACCCATTTTTGCATAATGCCCTTACACAAGTCTGTATCTTAAAGTCTATTTAATAAGCCTGATTTTTCATTTCATTAGCTTAGTGTATTAAGATTGCATAATTAGAATGTAAAAGGCAGAGATGATTTTATGGTATAATGTGTATATGGATCCATTAAAAAACATTAATGGAGTTGCATCTTTGAAAATGATTCTACCTCTTGAAAATGACATTCCTACAATGTATGGTGTGTGTATATTATATTCGATTAGATGGGGAGAATATATCCTAAATTCAGATTCATGGCTTGAATAAGAACATAATAGGCAAGTGAGGCAATTGCGTCCAAAAAAATTTTTTAACTGAAATTGAGGAGAGGATGTCAACTAGCAGCATTATATTTTCTATCTTAAATTTGCCTCGTCTTTTTGGTTTACCTCATCTTTAGCTTAAAACCTCACCTGTTTCACTTTGCCTCACCTATTTAAATTTGCCCCACTTATTTTGCCTCACCTATTCAAATTTGCCTCACCTATTTAAATTTGACCTCAGCTGTTTCACTTTGCCTCACCTTTTAAAATCTGTCCCACTTATTTTGCCTCACCTATTCAAATTTGCCTCACCTATTTAAATTTGACCTCAGCTGTTTCACTTTGCCTCACCTTTTAAATTCTGTCCCACTTATTTCGCCTCACCTATTCAAATTTGCCTCACCTATTTAAATTTGCCTCACCTGTTTCACTTTGCCTCACCTTTTAAAATCTGTCCCACTTATTTTGCCTCACCTATTCAAATTTACCTCACCTATTTAAATTTGCCTCACCTATTTAAATTTGCCTCACCTATTTAGATTTGCATCCCATGTTTACATTTGTTTCACCTATTTAGATTTGCATCCCATGTTTACATTTGCCTCACCGTTGCCTCACCTATTTTTTCATGCTCAGACTATACCTCTGAGTTCATCTACCAGAACCAGATAATAATTAACTTGTCTGGGATTAGGCTGAGATCAATAAATCGTTATATTTGAAATACTACATTGATCTTTATTCAAGGTGAACTTAACGTAGCATGAACTTTAATGCATAAATAAGTGGTTTATGAAATCCTTGTGACTTTTCTTGTTGATTCTTAGAGATCAACAGCTTGGACTAGATTCTGAGAATATTCAATAGTAGGTATCAGCTGAATAAGTAACTAACACCTAAAATAGCATACATTACAAAACTAAAAATAAAGGTATGTTTTTTTGAAAAAGGGATGTGTCAGTCAGCTTAAAGTGGCATTATCTGTAGTTGTAATGATGCCTGTGTAACTTTTGAGTGAAATGAAAATATTAATTCAAAAACTTTGTTTATTCCAAAACTTTGTATCAAATATATTATCAACAAATCAGCAAAGTGATTCATTTCTGACTCTTTGATTATCAGATCTAAAATGTTTTGAGATTTTTTGAGAAGTTTCTCGAGGAAACGGTTTATAAGGAGAGATACAATATTCAGCACAGGGAGCATTAATATATCAAACAAACATATCAAATTCATACACAAAACAGAAGACTCTACATTGAAATCTTAATTTTTTGATATAAAAAAGAGTTTATTTTTGGAACATCCTTAGATTTTTGTGATATCATCCATTCATTGATATCAATAACTGTGTATGAAGATTTTTAGTGATTTGGGATTAAATATACAGACTGTGCCTCTGAAAGATAAATGAATATGCTAAATATAAAATTAGTGTATTCTGTGTTTAATAAGTAGAGATATTATATTATATTATTGGTTGTAGAACATACGTTGTATGAATTATTAAGAAATTATGTAAAAATATTAAAGGGACATTTCTACAATGTGATTTAGATTTACTGGGAATTATATTGAATAACATGGGGTAGCATAGGAAACTACACCTTTGAGTGGTTGAATTATTTTGACGATTTGACCAAAGCAATGTAATGTTAATTAGGCATACTATAAGAAAAAACAATATTCGCATGATATCAATTCAATTGGTAAAGTTTAAAGAAACAGTCAAACTAACATGGGTTACTTAACATGTTATGAATCAATATGTATTTTCCAATCTGTCACACTGTAATTTCACACAATTCATTTACTGATATTTGACAAGCTACTATACAATTCATGATTATCTCTCAATTAAACCATAGTCTCCTTATATCAAGTAAGAATTTATTTAACTGAAACCCTCATATTAGTCCAATCCTATATGTGTTGGATGATGCCTGATAGCTCAACATGCATTTGAATTAAACGTTCATAAGCAAATCTTTTTGAGATCTGATGGTTAATAACATACTTCTTACACCCAACCTTTTTCAATTTTTAAATGACTCTGAATAATCCTCGTCTACTACCCATTGACATATTCTTGAGCTGAAATTGAATAAGTCCCAGCTAATTGGGTTTTATCTATTTCAATTTGAATAATATCACTAGCCAGTTTTGTGGTGCATATCACTTTGTTGATTTATGTCAGTAGAATTCGTATATTATGTGTGAAATATCCTATTTATACTACTGAAGAAACTCCTAAATGGAACACCTCTGTAAGTGGAACAGCTCACAACTGCTACCCATTGCCTCCATGTTAATGAGTCTCTGTAAGTGTAACACCATACATATGGAACACTTTTTTATGGTCCCAAAGATGTTCCATTTACACAGGTTTACGTATATACAGGTTGGGCATTTTTTTCAAAATGCTTTATCTTTTTTATTTTTGATATTAAATCATAATTTACATACCAAATGAAACTTGAGGTTGCTATCTAGCCATGGATTATGAATTGTTCACTTTTATTCGAACAAAATATGTCACAAGCGTCTCACTTAAACATGTGGTGTGCCATGAGAGATGAACAGAATTTGCAAAATGTTCCCGAACTGATACAGCCTGATAACCACCAAGCCAATAGTCCTGATCCAAACCCCAGTGAGTATAGGGTATGAAGAAGGCATGGGAAAGTCTCCAGGCGATAGTATAAAGGCACTCACATAACTGCAAAATTCGGTGTACTTAAGTTGGAAAATAAAAAAGTAATAGTGGCTTGAAAAAAAGTGGCCTTTTTGGCCCACCCTGTATACATATATTTTCAGTTGGTTGAATGTTGAGTCTTGCATAACAGGCAAATCTGATATGAAAAGTTAATTTACTGAATGATAACATTCATCCAGTAATATGAAATATTTCTCTTCTTGGCTATATTGTATCTTTTACTGCATACTTCGAAATAGGTTACATCTTAAAGTTGTGAATATTCTCATTTCAAGAGGTATAAGAGACATTTGGGAATTAGAATACGCTTTCTGTGTTAAGCCCATTCATTCAGGGGAAATTATTTGTATTCAGTTATTAGTGAACTTTACATTTCTGTACAAATCAATGGATATGTGTCAATGGGATTGCAGACTTATTGTATCTCTTAGCTACCTTAAATACATCATGTTCAAACAACTGTAATATATAGTTTGTATATTCGGTCTGTATATTCAACCTATCAGATTAAGTTTTCTGTTCATTCTAGACATCTACTTATTTGTGTCTTTTAATTTGTGGAGTTTTTGGTATCTTAATACAAAAAGGAATTGTTTATCAAATGTTTAGTTTAGTTTAATTGAATAATAAACTTCGAAATAGGTTACATTTTATATACATCAAGATTTTATGTATTGTATTGTTAAAATGTTCAGTACAAGTACAATATGGTAATACGAGGTATGTACTTATAAAATCTATGAATCTCAATAGTTCTTGCCATTTAAATAGGGAGATGTACTTAAAGAGGTAATATATCAAATGGAGGGATACGCTTAAAGAGGCAATACACTAAGAGACTCCAAAGTTATTTTTATTATGTCACCACCAGAAATGGTGACATAGTGTTATAGTCTCCAACCTTTTTGTGGATGGTGTTTGGCATCCAGTGGTTGCTTTTCAGCGGTTGTTGTTTGGCATGAAGTGGTTGCTATTCAGTGGTTGGTGTTTGGAATCTGTAACAAAGGGCAGCTGGTGATATTTTGCATGTTAACAGTTAATGCCTTGTTATTTATTTGGTACAATAATCAGCTACTAGAACCATGATATGCTCTGGTAGACCTGAAAATATCAAAGTAGCATATCATTGAATTGA